AGGAAAAGAGGGTGGTAAGATGCGGTGAGAGGCAGCAGGGCTGGAAAGGGAGGATGCCAAGGACCCTCCTTCACACCCTGATCTAGGTCTGGGGATACCTGGAAACTGCCCTCTGTGACTTTGAGAATAGGCCTCCCTGCCACTGGGGCTCCCCAGCACTGTCCAGCACAAAAAAACCTGGTCTTTGGGGTCACGTGTCTAGTATCACTTGACAAGTTCCAGCTCCGTCACTTACTGGCTAGATGACCTAAGGCAAGTTACTTAACCTGTTGGTGCCTCATCATTCTCATCACTAAAATGGGGCAATGGCGACTCTCAGGACTATTGTGAGGATGGAGTGAGATCGCACATGTGTACAAAAGACCTGACACATAGCAAGTGCTAAGTAAATATGGGTTCCAGAGAACTCCTGCAGGTTCCTGGAAGGAAGGGAAGTGATTCACAGTATATGACATCATCTGGATCATTTGATTCATAATTGGGGAGAATTGGACTCACCAGAGCTGTTCTGGTCTAAAGCTAGAGCTGGAAAGTTAGAGAGTTAAAGTGCAGCTGTCAGCTCCATCTCCACTCCCATCTCCCACCTTCACCACATAATACCCAAGGCAGGCGCCAATTCTGCCCCCTTAGGGTCTCTTGAGCTATAGATTCGAGGCCCCTGGTATTCTCCAAGATGAGGGGAGCTGGAGGAAGAGGAGGATCTTTGGAGGAGCAGCCAAGTGTTCTTTGACTCATGAGAGAGCCGGGGGCCCAAGGGGCCAGCTGGAGGTCCGCTGTCTGTCTGCTGAAAGCTCTGCTAGACTTTCTGTCTCCTCCACCCCTGGGAATCCAACCATAAGAGTAACTAATCTGGCTCCCCTCTGCATCCCTTGTCCCCAGCACAGTTTCCTTCTTGTGCTCTCTGGGAGAAGATGAGAGCTGGGAAAAGAGGGATGCGGCTGGGGAGGCAGGTCCAGCTCAGCTGGCCCACAACATCTGTACCCTTAACTGTGGCCTCCCCATGCCTGCTTCGAACTGAGAGGGGATTGGAGAGCGCCAGTTCTCCCTAGGAAGCAGTAATCTGACTCACTCTCCAGGATAAGCCATGGACGATAGCAGTCTTTTTTCCATAAAACTCATATAGAACTGTGGAACTCATGTTCTCACCTTTATAAGGCAAAATGTGGAGTAGCACATGTGTTAACAGAAAACTGCAAAATAATGACGACTTAAACAAGATGGAAATTAATTTTCTCCTCACATGAAATAATTTTGGAGTTAAATAGGCCAGGGCTGTTATGAAGACCCTGCAAAGTTTTCAGGGACCCAGTTTCCTTCCAACTCATCTTCAAGGTGCCAGATGACTGCAAGGGCTCCTACCATCATATTCAAGTTCCAGGCAAAAGCTTGGCAGATAGAGAAGTAAGACATGCTTCTTCCTTTAAGGAGACTTTCCAAAGGTCAAACCCCAAACTTCCATGTACACCCAAAACTCTAAGAAGCCCTAAGGGGCAAGGATTGCCAGAACTTAGGCATAAAGTCACTGCCAGCTCCAGAGATGGCTGGGAAGTGAACTCTTTTATCTGGGTGGCATTGGGTCCCATCCCGTCTCCTCACACAGCCACTGTCCTGATTCAGGCCTCTCTCAACTCTATGATAAGCACAGATCTGGTCTTCCTGCCTCCAGGCCAACCCTCCACATCTGGCCATGTCACCCCCTTGCTCAAGAACCTGCAGTGGCTCCTTGAAGCCCTTCGAAGAATAAACTACAAGCTCCCAGTATGACCTGCAAAGCTCTTCACAATCTGACTCCAGACTTCCCTTCCAGACTCATCTCCAGGTACAGATGCACACCCTCCGCACCCTGCACACAGTCCAGCCGCACCAGATTCCTCTATGTCCCTCAAAGGATCTATACCTCACCAAGGTACTCCCCTTGACTACAATGCTCTTTCCACCCTTTGATTCCTGATAAACTTCCATTCATCTTGTGAGATGCTACACAAGCATTACCTTCTCCATGTGAAGCCTTACTTCTGTCCTCTGTGGACCTCCCGGAAAGTCTCTGGAACACTCTCTCACATGTCTGAATGCCCTCGAGAAGACGGCCATCTAAGGTTCAGAGCCGCCCACCCGCATGCTACCACGGGCCTGCAGCAGCGGCCTTGGAGGCTTTGTTTTGCACAGACTTAGTATTGTTTAAGACAGCATTATTAAGCCCTTCGCGCTGCACCGGAAGCTCCTCCAGCACCGTCGCTGTCTTGGTGTCCCCAGCAGTGAGCCCAGGGGCTGGCACTGAGCAGGGCTGAATGAGCGAAGGACCCACAGAAGACGCAGCTCCTTCTCTCTCCCATTGTAGCTCAGAGCCCTGCCGATTCACCGGCCTGGCCCCCTCCCTCCGAAGTGCAGAATGACAGCTTGACCAAGGACTAACACTCTTAGGGATGACATTAAAATGGAACAGATACGGGCCCTCACAGCAATCCTCACCCAGATCCACGCCGTTCCAATTATGAGATGTTTAGTCTATACTGTCTCCACTGACCTTTCGCCCCATAACAGACAACGTCATTCCTGACGAGAACAGAAGCCCCTTGCCACCCCCTGGGCTCCCAACACTGGGGAAGCACCGAGCCAAGAGTCTGGGTTCTTCGTCCCCTGCCAGCTCTGGGAGGCAGAACGGAGGACAGACTGGCTGCCCAGACTCCGCAGCCTCTGGACATGGTGCTCTGAGGGTGAGGCGTGGGGATGGGGCTTCTGGTTGCTATTTTCTTCTACCTCTCCCCAAGTGCCCCACCCCCATCAAGTGCTAGGAAGTCCTTCAGTTACTACCCAGAAAGCAGGCAGGACGTTTTTCCTTTGGGGGAGTCCCTGCAGAAGACTTTTGTCACACTGCCACCTTGACGAAGTGGCTGGGGCATTAAGACCTCCTTCCCCAGGAAGCATTAGGCCCTGGTTCTAGGGCCCATCTCCCTTCCCCTTCCAGCTTCTGGGTGGGTGCCTCGTCTGGGGGAAGGGACGGTCAGGATTCTCAGGCCAGGGAGGTCCAATATTGATTTTGATCCCCCATCCCTACACATACACGCACACGCACCAGCAGCCTTCTCCCCACTCTTTCTGCTCCCGTAGCACTTTGCAGCTTGACTCTGGTTCTATAGAGGCTAAGTCATAATTAACTGTGATTGTCTATGACCTGGGAGCATCTGTCTCCTTAGGTGAATGGTACAGAGAAGGGGCCCGATGGATGTGGGCGCCCTCTCCTCTCCCATCCTCTCCCACTCTGTGGAGAAGGAGGTCTCTGAGGTTGGCTCCACCCCTTGAAGGGCAGAAGAATAACCCAGAAGCCTTGCCTCCTCTGGGATGGTTTTCCTGCCATCCGTGGTAACCATGGTGACCATGGCGAGGTCTGCTTGAAGCTCAGTGGGGGTAATCTGGCCCACCTCGTTCCCCTCTCCCCAGGAAATGATTATAGCAGCTGAAGTTATTAAACACTCACAGTGTACCAGACACTCTGCTATGTGATCGACTTCCACTTTCTCACTCAAGCCACACAACCAGTCTCTGAGATGGGGTTAGAAAGCTGAAAAGACTTGCCCAAGGTCACACAGCTAGAAAGAGCCAGGCTCTTAATCCCTGCCTGACGCTCCTTCCTTGCACAGCCTCAGCTAGTCCTTGCCCATCCCTCTCCCTTCTGCTGCTTGCCTGGAACACAAGAGGTACTACCCCGGCGGGAGCTACTACCCGCCATCATCCCTCAGGCCTCCTTGGTGGAGTGGGGGAGGAGAAGGTTGACCTGCCACCCAAGCCACCCAGCTGTTGCAGAGGCAGGACAGCCCGGAGCTGTCACAGACTCTCCAGTTCTCAGAAAGCTCTGTTCCACATCACAGCCGATTAGTTACAAATTGCTTCCTCTCCTCGTGTATCACTTACACAACAGAGAGAAAGGGGAGATTGTTCCTGAGGACAGTCTCCCCGGGGCCTCGCACCAGGGCAGCTGGGAGACACAATGGGAAAGAGAGGAGGGGCTAGGAGGAGAAAGGGGGAATAGTCACAGGAAATAGGATGTGGGGGGTCCCAGCAGTTGGGAAGGGACCCACTGTGTCCACCCCGGTAGGCAGCAAGAAGGCAGGGGACCAAGGCTTAGCAAGGGCCCTGAGCTGTGAGCGCAGAAAGGGGAAGCAGCTATGGTACCAGCTCAGAGGCTCAGTTCCTGGAAAGCAGCTTGCCAAGGACCCCCAGCTTCGGAGGACAGCCCCTGATTGGGTAGCCGGAGCACAGCAGGTGCCCGGCCTCTGGATTTCTCGAGAGCTTTGGACACCCTGGGATCTGAACAAATGCCCTCCCTCAAAGCAGCTGGCCGGCCCTCCAGCCCGTCTGGTTTCAATAAAGCTCTTCCAGTCTGGAAGAGCCTGGAAGGAAGTTCAGTGTCAGTGAGGCTGCTGGACACGAGGTGCTGGCTGTGGCCCCAGAGCCTCCCTGTGCCCTTGGTGTTCCTTGACTTTGCTGCCGCCACTAAGCTACATCCCTCCGTTAAAGCAGAGGGCCAAGCATGCACAGAGTACCCCTTTGTCATTCCACTTAGCACAGCTGAGACCAGCTGGCATTTTCACAAAGGGCTTTACTAAAATACTAAGGGAGAACAAAAGGGAAATAATTACAGAAAACACAAAAAACCCAGGCCCGGCTGCCAAGTTCCCAAAGTACGGGTTTCTGATCCTTTGGTGATGACACGTTGCCCCAAAGGCCTGGGACAAGGCCGCAGGCACCTTGCCTGGCCGCCCTTGTTTGCAGCCTCGTGGTGGGCGCCATCTTAGTTTCCAGCCCTGGGAACCACTGGGTCTCCCGTGGGCTCTGCTTTTGTCTCCCTTCCAACTCGGACCCGCCCTAGGGCCCTAGGCCTCCCACTGGGTTCTGGTTTCTGGGCCGAGGCGTGAGCCTTGTCCCCTGGGGGCTGGCAGGGCTGTGGTGACCATCCCAGGGCATGATTACATGGCAACGGGAAGTTGTTTTCCCACACTTACCCCACCAGAGAGGCCCACACAAGCTGTCTTGAGCACAGGGTCTAGAAGGGCTACCTCTGAGGGCTGAAGGACATCTGCGTAAAGAATGAGCAGGCTTGGGACGTTTTCCCTGTGGAGAGAGGAGAGAGTGCTCTGAGGATGGGCCCACCTCAACAAACATCAAGTAAGCCCCTACTGTGTGCCGGGCACTGCACAGGGTGCTGGGAATCCAAGGGTGAACAAGTGTCTGCCCTCTCAGATCTTACAGACTGAGGAAAGACAGACCAGCGTCTGGGCAGTGATGGTGCTGAGGGCCAGGCACCGCGATGGGAGGGAAATTCCAAGTGCTGGGGGAGCCTAGGTGAGGAGTGTCTCACCCAGTGGTGGCAGCCAGGGAGGCCATTGGAGCCTGAATGAAGTGCATGGAGAGGAGGAGAGAGGCTCAGGGTTGAGGCTGAGGAAATCCCAGCCCAGAAGGCAGGAGGAGAAGGCAGAGAGGCCAACCAGCCATCTTCTTGCTGGTGACTTTGGCTAGCTGGTGGCTGCGGCACGTCCAGCCTATAGCGGACGGGCCTTCAACCTGCGCTGCCCGCTGCCGCTCTCCCTGCCAGCCAGGAAACAGGAGATTCTAGTCCTTGGACGCTCTGCTGCTCACCCACCTCTGGCCACATCCAGATCTGGGGCTCAGGGACAAGGTCAGAGGGAGTGTGCTTCTCTAGGGCCACCTGAGATGCCACTGCAGAGGCTGATGCTCGATGACATCAAGGGAGAAGGAAGAGGTCATAGTCGGGAAATAGATCAGAGGGTCAAGACTCCGAAGAGGCCAGGCCAAAATGAGAAAATGAGTCAGGAAGCTAAAAGCCAAGAAATAGGGATGGGTTGACGCAAGCGTTTCAGGCTAAGACCATGACTAATGCAAGGTGTGGGAAGCCCTGTGTTTTAGGGCAGCCCCGGAAGGCAGCCCAGCATGCAGGACTAGAACCCATGGCTGCTCAGGGTGACTACTGTCATGGTCCAATCAGTGTTTCTACGGCCTAGACCCTTGTGTTTACCTGTATTTACCTGTGACAGGGTCAATTCCAGGCCCGGGATGACAGTGTCTGTCTCCCACACACCAACCTTCAGAGCTTGTCAAGCAACCACTCTGCTCCAGCAAAGGGAAGATTGAGAAAAGCTTTGGGACACCAGCTCTGCCTTCAAGGTATTTGCTACCTGCTTGCAGAGAGAGCTTGTGCTCACTGGAAAGAGCGCTGGAGAAAGACCTAAGCTTGATCCCCATCTCTGTTCCTTCCCTGGTAGCTAAAGGTCTATGGCCCAATTACTTAAACTCCCTGCACCTCCATTTTCCCATCTTCAAAATGGGAATATTTAAAACCTACCTCATAGGGTTGTTATGAGAATTCAATGAGTCGAAGTGCTAAAAGTGCCAGGCACACTGCTTGACACATAATAAGTGCTCAAAAAATACTTGTTCTCTCCCTGAAACAACAACAAATGATCACCATCCTACAGCTAAATGTTGAGTTGTGAACGCTGATGCTACCAGTGCTCAGCACCTGGATCTACTCAGAAGGTGTCAGGGACAGCTGGGGACTGATTGCCTGGATGGTGATGGTGAGAAGTTGCGTGTGTGTGTCTGTGTGTGTGCACGCATGTACATGCATGCACACATGCACATCCACGCGCACGCAAATCCCTGCATCCTTTTTCTCCTCTGCATTTGGCAGAAGCATAAGATTCTTCTTTTTCTGTCTCATGTCCAAGATGGTGAGGACTCTACTCTGCAGTGTCTTTTTTTTTTTTTTTTTTTTGCGGTACGCCGGCCTCTCACTGTTGCGGCCTCTCCCGTCGCGGAGCACAGGCTCCGGATGCGCAGGCTCAGCGGCCATGGCTCACGGGCCCAGCTGCTCCGCGGCATGTGGGATCTTCCCGGACCGGGGCACGAACCCGTGTCCCCTGCATTGGCAGGCGGACTCTCAACTGCTGCGCCACCAGGGAAGCCCTGCAGTGTCTTTATATCTCTAATAAGAATCAAAAGTTGAATTAGAAATCATGCCTAACAGCTACCATTTCCTGTACCCCAGGTGCTTTAGCAGTCCTCACCTCTGAGGTAAGCACTGTTATTATTCCCACTTTAGATGGAGGAAGTCTGGGCTCTGAGGAGTAAAGGAAGTTACTTGAAGTTATACAGCTGGTAAGGACTGGAGTCACAATCCAGGACAGCAGAGCCCCAGCACACCTGCCCTGGACTGGATGTGAGTAACAGTAAACCTCTATCTGACTCATGGATATTCTGAAAGTCTAATTGGTTTCCCCTAGCCTACCCTAGCTAATTCATCTCGCAACCCAAGAAGCCAAGTTTAGAAGGATATGGTCTCCAGTTTAGTGACAAAAAGACTGAGGTGCACTTGTAGGAATCGCAGACACTGCCCAGGCATCAAGCTTATTCCAGAGTAGAAAGGGAGCTGCAGCGTTCCCACCCATCTGTACCTACCCACCACCCCCCTCCTCGGCCCTGGCTGTGAATGTAAACTTCAAGGGAACCACCACACCACATGCCAGTGCCTAGAACATAGTAGGGCTGAAGCAATACATGTTGCATGAAAGGACAGATAAATGAAAACAAACACACACAACACGTACAATCTATGCACCCTTATACATACACAGTTATAGGCAAAGGTGCCCAATGCATAAGTGCTCAAAACACTCAGTTATAGACAAGCATATACAAAACAGATACTTCAACACACACACTCATACACAAAACACACCCATGTCCACATTCACAAATCCAAAACATGCATATGTATACACAGATATCATGAGCAAGCATATATGATCCAGATATGCACAAACACACATCTACTCACCCCAGCGATGCCCAGACATCCTCCACCAAGACCCTGGGCCCAGGAAGGAATCTGTCTGCTCCATGAGCCTTAGCATGTTGGAGCTTGTCAGAAAGTTCTTTGCAGCCCCCCCTTAGCTGGCTGGTGACTGGCCCCTGGCTCCTGGACCTCCGGGTTTGGGGCCGGCCAGGCAGGAGGCAGCATCTCCGGCAGCCCCGCGTGGGTGGGCGGGCAGGCAACGGACGCAGAGGTCACTGGGGTGAGAGCTGGGGCTGCCCTGGCCTCTCTTTTCCTGGCTGGAATGTGAGATGTAGGGGCCACCTCTCAGGCCTCCCTCCTCTCTCCCAGCCGCCCACCAGCCCCAGGCCCAGGCCAACCCATGACCCCAAATCCTGCCAGGTTCTCGTAGCCAGGAAGTGTGCGCGGAGGGTGGTGGTGGTGATGAACACTCGAGGACCGTGGGAGGCATACACAAATAACACAGAGATGCACAGTCACACACAGAAGCTGGCCCGGATACTCACCCACGAAGACACACACACAAAGACACAGGCAGGCATACAAGTTCACAATCCCACTGAATGCACATTAGACACACTTCCAAACACAGAAGAAAAATCAGGCACATCCATCACACACACACACACACACACACACACACGCAATCACACACACGCAATCACACAGGCATACAGAGATACCAAGAGACCAGACGCCCACAAAGCGACATTTGCACATACAGCAGATGCACACAGACACTCAGACCACACAGAGACTCATAGCACACGTGGATCTTCACAACTGCACGCAAATGCCCACACACAGGCACAGAGACACGCACACACAGACCCCTTCCGGCAGACCCCTGCCATGTCGGAGCACTTCCTCCTCCTCCCGGGACCAGGAGGAAATGCTGCACTAGTAGGCCACTCTCCAAGCCACATGTGGCCGGCTTGCAGGCAGGGCCCGGAAAACTGCTTGCCACAAGAGGAAATAGTGCTGAAGCCCCCGCCAGGTGCCTGCCGTCTGAGTGCCTGGCCAGGAGGATGGTGCATGGGCTGAAGAGACAGCCACATGGCATGGGTTTTGTCTCTGTATGTTAAACACGCACGCACACGCACGCACACACACACACTTTTCAGGAGTACATATGTATGTACAACGTATACAGGGAGGGGCACTCTTGGAACCTCAGTTTCTTCATCTATAGCATAGGGTTGATAATTCTTTCACCCTTGAGGATTATGGGGATGGCATAAGGTGGCACTGTGACGTACCAGAGCAAATCACTGCCTTCCTGGGGGTATGGAGCTGCATCTCTGCAGAGGCCTAATGTCAGGAGCCTTGTTCGCAGGCGTTGGGCTCCACACCTGGCTGCCCCCGCCCAAGGTGGCCGGCCTGGAAGAGCCGGAGCCAAGCTGGGGGCCCCTCTCCTGGGCCAGCACTGGGCGCTGCCTGGCTCAGCCGGCGCCCCGGGCAGCAGGCTCCGAGCGTCCCGGGAGAAGCTGCGGGCTGGGCTCCGCCGGGCGGTGAAGCCCGCGTCTGGAGGGCCCCTTCCACGCACTGCCGCCCGAGCTCGCTCAGGTCCGCGCCGCCCGCCCGGCCTCTGGCCCCGCTCGGCGCCCGGCCGCTCCCTAGGACTCGGGTCTGGAGCCTCGTCGGCGGTGGGCGGGGCGGGCCTGCAGCCCCGCCCCCACTCGCGGGCCCTGAAACCCAGCGGCCGACAAGCTTCAGTCCCAGAAGGGAGCTGCTGTCTGAGGAAGAAGCTGCATCTTCACTCGCCAGCCACGAGAGGACCTGGGGTCGCGCCGGGCGCCCGACGGACCCTGCTCAGGGACCCGCCTGCCCCACACCGACCGGCCCTGCCGGACCCTCCGCACCAGGTGCCCCAGCCGCAGCCTTACCTGCGGGCTCCAGAATCCCCAGGGCTTCTAGAGGATGCTCGGGCCACCGACAGGGACCTCGGGGCAGCAGTGAGGGGGGGCACCCAGCCCCCCATTCAGCTCCTGTCCTCCTGTGCCAGGGGCTCCCCCGGGGTACGAGCATGGTGGTTTTCCCTTGGAGCCCCCTGGCTTGGTACGTCTGAGAAGATGCCTGCCATGAGGCTGTTCACTTGCTTCCTGCAGCTCCTGGCTGGGCTGGCCCTGCCTGCTGTGCCCCCCCAGGTAAGACCCCCACCCCCCAGCCTGGCTTCCCTGATCTTCCCACCCCCAGCACTGGGAACAGGGGGCTCTGAAATCACAGACCCACTCCCGGGAGCAGCACCTCCAAGGATGTCCACACACTTCCCACGAGCCAGGCTGGACCACGTCGTCTGGGAGGAGTCCGCAGGCAGGGCTGTCCCAGACCTCAGCTCCGGGGTCTGTCTTGGCGGGGGCGGGGAAGCCACAGGGAAGGGAGGGAGGTTTCCTGTCTGGCCCTTGGAGCCCTGGTGGGTTTGCTAAAAGCATCTCTCCACTAATCCCAGGCGGGTCCCTGGCCTTGTGGTCAGGGTCGAGGCCCTGTGACCAGGCAGGCGCCCCCAGGACCTCTGACCTGGCCTGGTGGAGGGAAAGCCGGCTGAAAAGACTACTGGTGGGGAGGCTGGGCCCTGCCCCCCACCAAGGCTCCAGGCTGAGCCCAGGGCTCCTGGGTGGGCTGGGGGCAAGACAAGGGTCCCACTGTGCCCTCTCTCCCGGATGGGCAGCTGGAGGTCCTGAGTGCAGGGCCTGGGGAAGTGAGCAGGGCCCTTTTCCCAGGAGCTGGGTGAGTCTGGCTGTGAGCCAGCTTGGGCAGCGAAATCCTGACAAAGCCAATGAGCTCCCTTCCCACTGCGCTGTCCCACTGCCCTGGGAGTCCCAAGCCCCAGCCCAGAAGTGGGTGGGCTGGGCAGTTCCACGGGGCGGAAGGGCCATACCACCCGCCACCCGCCGCCCGCTTGCCTGCTGCAGGGCTGGTCAGAGGTGTCACTTTACCGGCAGCACCGCCTCCTGGCGCCACCCGCTCCAGCGCCTCGGCTCTCACCAGCTGATCGCTTCCCCCTGGGCTCTGGCACCCAGCCAAGGCGAGCTGCACAGGGCCCAGCAGGGCTGCCTGGGGGCTGGGTAGAAGGGAGACCCCAAAGGATCGCCAGATCTTTGGGACAGAGCAGGCAAAGGGTCTCCAAAAGCTTCCAGCCTCCCACCCTTTCTAAATGAGGAAACTGAGGCCAGAGAGGGGGTGGGATCCACGGGACCCACCCAGGGTCCCTTGAGTTTTTCTCGTTGCACCTGGAAGGAGCCAGCCGTGAGACAGGGCAGAGTGTGTGCAGCGGGTGGGAAGGAGCTCAGAGTCAGAGGGGCCTCTATGATCTTACCGACACACTGGGCCCCAGAGCGCAGAGGCCCAAGGTGGTCCCCCTCATCTCTGCACCTTTCTGTCCACAGCAGTGGGCCTTGTCTGCTGCGAACGGCTCATCAGAGGTGGAAGGTAAGCTGCCTGGGCCCAGGGGGCGGGGGCGGGGCTGGAGGGGTGGGTGCACAGCTCGCCAAGTCCTCACCTCCTGGGCCTCTGCAGAGGATGGGAAGGGTTGGGAAGGGTGGGTGCAGGCTGATACTGAGCTGGGGAGAGTCTGCAAACTGGCTGACGCCCTGGCCGACAGAGTTGGCAGGGCCTGAGAGATCCCCCCATTGTGACCCAGAGGCCTAGAGAGGTGTCTTCCTGGGCCAGGGTCACCCGGCGCACAGAGAGCAGGGCTGGGGCCCGTTTACCCAGGATTCGTCAGGTTGGGGTTCATCAGAGCCCCTTCCCAGCATGATGTAAGGGGGGCAGATGGGGTCTTGGAGGGCAGTGCAGGCAATGAGTGCCAAGGGCCAGGCTGGGGGTCTGTGAGCTGGATGCAGTGGTCCAGCAGTCAAGAGGACCAGGGAGGGGCAAGAGGACCTTCCCAGCAGCCAGCCCTGGAGGAGCTTCAGGGACCTGACGAGGCCTTTCCATTGATTACAAACAGACAGAATGAGTTGTGCCTTCCCTGGCCCCTCCACTCCCCACCCAGGGTTGTATCAAGAGGGAATCTTCAAAGGGTGAGACAATTTGCCAAAGAGACATACGTGCAGAAGGCAGGAGGCCCATGCCAGGCCCCCTGCCTTGCCCCTCCCTCCCTGCCTCTCCAAGACGTGCTGCCAGGCCACACACCACTTTCCACGGAAGAAAGGGAGCATGTAAGGACATGCACATGCACACGCGTGGTGACCTCTGTGAGCTGGGAACACCCTCCCTCTACTGCCTGTAGCCAGCCTCTCCTGGGCCTGACCATGCTCTGACGGCTGAGTCCCAGGCCCCTTGGGCACTGAGAAGGTGGGGGTGGTAGCAGATGTTGATTTCATTGATATCCTCTCCCTCCCCCTGCTTGCCCTCTAGGATTGGCACAATATTATGCTCTCTGGGATTTGGAGAGAGACCCATCACCTACCTCCACCCCATGGCCTTTTTGATGCTTTTAGTATATTTCAGATAACAGCTATCAAAGAAGTCTGAGCCTCAGTTTCATCATCTATAAAATGGGAGCATTAAACTACATGATATCTAAGGTTCTTTTTCTCAGATTGTAGGATTCTCTGACTCCATGGAGGAGACACAGGAGTATATTTCTCCCAGGGACCCGAGTGAGGAGGGACCCGGGAAGTATCGATCCATTAGAACAGCTCACCTGTCATCCTGATCAATTAGGGAGCCTGTATCATGACCAGGGAAAGAGCTTTGGACCCCAGTTATCAAAATCCTGAAAATGCCATCCCCTCCTAACACCAGACAAGAGACAGAATGGTCTGTGCTTTGCAGCCGCAGACGTTGATTTTTTACTATTACTATTCATGGTAATATTATCAGGCATTTACTATAACTCTGTGCCACAAGCTGTGAACTAGGAAGGCACTCGTATTCTCCACGTTTTATAGATGAAGGCTCTGAGGCTCACAGAGGCCCTTGCGGTCACCTAAAGCCTTGGACACTCTTCAGTACATGTGACAGAGCTGGAGCGCGTGGCACCGAGCCTCCCCACGGCTCACAGCTGAGCAGGCATTGAGCAGGGTGTCCCCTGCCGCAGGCTGGGTGTGTGCCCCACCGGTGACCACCAAGAGGATACCTGCTGGGCTCGGGCTGGTGGCCAGTGGCTCTGCCCAGCCCGGTCCCCCCACCCTCCCAGTGGCCCCCCCCAGGAGCTTGCTCTCAGGATGAAACACTTCCCATCTGGGGTCTCCTCTGTCCTGGGTGGTAGGCAGCTGGAGCCAGACGGGAGGCTCACCCAAGGGCTGGCAAGAGAGCCGAGAGCCCACTTTTTGGCCCCGGGAGCAGCCAGGCGCCTGCCTCGGCCACAGCCTCCCGTTCCTCTCCCTGCACCCCGGCCTCTGAGCGGGTCTGGGGCTGCCCTCAGGAGCAGCTGAGCAGAGCTCTTTGCCGAGGGGCTCAGCCCACAGCTGGGAGCGGTCACAGCACTCCCTGAGCCAGCCCCTCGCCCAGCCCCCTCTGTTTCTCCCACACACCCAGACAGCAGCCCCAGGAATGAGCTGCCCCCTTTCCTGGTGTCTGCCAGGTAAATCAGGCCCAGCCCACCTCCTTCTCAGCCCTCTCCCAACACCATCCGGCCATGAGGCCCAGAAAGCGGTGGGCTTCAGGGCCCCGGAGCCTGGGTCCTGTTGCCGCAGTCTGCATGGTGGGTGAGGGGAAAGGAAATCCCTTCTGCCTCCTAGGCCCTGCGGCTCTGCTTAACCTGGCGGTGGCCTCATGGCCCAGCTGGGTGGAGTTTGCTTGCGGGATGGTAGGGGGACGGGGTGCCCCTTCTCTGCTGCTCTCCCCCTCCCTGATGGCTGGTCCCGGGGCAGGACCCTGAACCTTCTGTGGCACTTTGGCAGCTGGCTATCCCTCTGCTGTTATTTATGTTTTCCGAGGCAGAGATTAAATGTTCAGAGTTGTGTAGTGCTTATGAAGGTTTTAGACTAAACACGCACTCATAGAGTTACAATAGGGAGGTGCTCCTCTGACCTCTCCCTGCAAAGGCTGGCTTCCCTGGGGCTTTGGGCTGACCTGGAGGAGAGGGCCTTGTTTCCCACTTGGGTCCAGGGAGAGTGACCCAGTGGCCTGGAGAGGCAGGATCAGGGAGGTCTCTGGTCTCCCTCCCGTCCCTGGGCCCAGCCCTAGTGCGCCCTAAGCAGACAGGGCAGAATGGAGCAGCAGACGCTCAGATAAGCACAGTTTATTGCTCTGTGGCCGCTTCAGCCAGCTCCACGTGGACACACTGCCTCTTGGGTATTTTCCACCGGCTTGCAGCCTTTCCCAAGGGCCTCTGCTAGGGCTGAAGTTTATTTTTCCTCTAAGATTACCCTGAGACTCACGTCCTCGTAGGCTCAGTAGAATGGACTTCAGCCCCTTCTGCCCCTAGTAAGGGACATGGAAGGTAGTGAGGGGCTGCTAGGAGAGGTCATTGCCCTAGGGCAGAGGCTGCAGCGTCCCCAGGTGGCCCAGCTTCCCTGTCCTCCCCCACCAGCTGAGGATGACCACCAGGTACAGGGCAGGATGACCCAGGACTGGAGATGTGTCTCTGCTCACGGTCTCACAGCTGGGCTGGGTTGTGTGCACAGAATCACAGACTGCCTGTCAGATCTGGGAGAGCCCTTAGCAACCATCTATTCCCAACCTTCTTCTTTTTCCTCAGCTGAGGAAACTGATATACCCAGAAAGGTGAAGTGACCGCCCCAAGGTCACACAGCCAGTGTAGGGCCAGGACTAGAAGCCAGGTCTCCTGGCTCTGGCTACTCACTTCCTGTGAGCCTCTGTTTGGGACCAGGCCCCAGGCCCTCCCCTGAAGGAGCAACGTCTTTTGAGAGACTCCAGATCAGCCCGCAGAAGTTCCTGGTCAAGACCACCAGGACATCGTGGAGGTCAGGGATGTCCCTGATAACCTTCAGTGAATTCTCATCTAATCAATCAGTAATTACTTAGCCTGTGTTTACTGGGTGCTTGGGTCCGTGTCTTCAAGGAGCCTCAACTTGCTTGTAAAAAAGATAAGAGCCACCAGTGACGGAGATAAGGCAAGCCCTTGGGGCTGAGTTATGCTCAAAAAAGGAACATCTGTTCACGCTGGACAAGTAGGAGAAGGCTTCGGAGAGGAGGAAAGGAGGCGGGCCTGGGGAAGTGGGAAGTGGGCTTTATTTGGTTAGAAACGAGAAGGGGGCAAGGAGCATGGACCTCAAGTGGGAATTAGGATGATGTGGCCCCGAGCTCTCACGAGGGTGGCCTGACCGAAATGGAGCACGGGAATGGGGCATGTTGCTGACTGCAGTCTTGGCCACCAGGCAGAGGAGCTGGCCCAGTGTGGGCAGGAAACAAGGACTAAGGGGAAGGCTAACCCTCCCTGTGGGACTCTGCAAGCCAGTCTTGCAGAACTGACTGTTTTCTGCCAATTCCCCAAGACTGAGGAAGCACCAGGTCAGGGCTAAGAAAGATCCAGAGGGCCTGGGGAGCTGCCAGAGCACGCTCCTCGAAGCTTCAAGGCACCGAGGCAGATGCGGCCCCTGACTTGAGAATAGAGCTGAGAGCTCAAGACACTGAGAAATTCCGTTCCACTGGGATTTCCATCCGGCAGACGGGTTGGAGGTCCAGCTGTCATCCCAGAGGGATCACATCAGGAGTTCAGAGCCGGGGGAGCTCACATAGGCAGGGGGCTTCCTGGAGGAGGGGGTGTGGGCTGAACCTGGGAGGACCCGCAGGGCCTAGGCTTCAAGGAGCAGGCCCCTCCTGGCCTGACGCAGCTGTCTGTGCCTCCTCGCAGTGGTGCCCTTCCAGGAAGTGTGGGGCCGTAGCTACTGCCGGGCCCTGGAGAGGCTGGTGGACATCGTGTCTGAGTACCCCGGCGAGGTTGAGCACATGTTCAGCCCGTCCTGCGTCTCCCTGCTGCGCTGCACGGGCTGCTGTGGCGATGAGAACCTGCACTGTGTTCCAGTGGAGACGGTCAATGTCACCATGCAGGTAAGCGGGCTCTCCTCCTCGTGTCCGGGCCTGCCCCTCTGTCCACATGCTGCTCAGAGGGCCACAGAACCTGCCCCCGAGGGGGCCCGGGAGGGAAGGAGGGCAGGCCAGGGTCACAGGACTGGGACTTACGCCCAGGCCTATCCTCTTACCACAGTGCCCCTCCTTCCTGAACCCCTGCCCCAGCTTTGAGCCCCCTCACCTCCTCCCTTACCAGCTTTCTCAGCCTCTGGCTTAGCCCTGCCCCAGGACCTAGGATATCTGGTTGAGGTTGGAAAAGAAATCTGTTCGGATTCAAGATGTCCCTGTTTATACCAGGGACATTTGGCATTTCACGCCCTGAGCTTTCTCACACACTCACACCTACAGTGGTTTTTTGAGCACTAGTTGAATAATGCCAAGCGCTATGCTAGGTGCTTCAGAAATGTTACCTCAACATTCGATCCTTGGAGCTAAGTGATATTCCCATTTCACAGATGAGGAACCTGAGGTTCAGAGATGTTATTTCACTTGCTCAGCAGGTGGAAGAGCCAAGCTTTGAACATAGGTCTCGCTGCCTCCAGAGCAGGGGCCCCCTTCCTACACTATTGCTATGCTGGTGGCCCTGGGACGGGAGGGACAGGGGCCTCCCTCAGCTCCACATGCAGGCGGGAGGGCTATTTGCCCCACACTCAAAGCGAAATGAGGGTGTGTAGTCCAAAGGCTGGTGGGAAATAGGGAGCCTGGTCCTCATGCAAGGGGAGGCTGGAGGGAGTATTGGAAACCCCAGGCCGCCCCCAATCCAGTCACCCAACCTTCCTCTCCCCTCAGCTCCTGAAGATCCGCTCTGGGGACCGGCCCTCCTACGTGGAGCTGACGTTCTCTCAGCATGTGCGCTGCGAGTGCAGGTGGGTCCTCGGGTGTGGCAGGGACAGCCCCCACGAGCCTGGCAGCTTCAGCCAGGGGCTGCCCGTCCCTGCTTCCTAGTTGAGGGAGACCAGGGAAATCAGCGACCAGTGGCAGCTGCTTGTGTCTCCCCATCAGCCGGTTTTGCCCAGGGAGCTGGCCCCAGCAGCTGGACCACAGCTGCTGAGAAACCACAGGGATGGAGGGAGCCAGGGTCCCTCCCAAACTTGCCAAGCTCAGGGCACGCCATCTCCCTCCTCAAGCTGGGAGGCAGCTGCCACGGCCCTGGAAGAAGTGACTGGACTTAGTTCTAGGCCAGGCTGGTGCCCACGGGAGGGGTCAACTGGCTGAGGCGCGCAGATACGGACAAGCCCTGGTGGGAGGGAAGGGGCAGAGGGAAGGAGCTTTCTTTAAAGTCGCTCCCCCACCCGGGAGAGCCTGTCACCAGCACATCTTGCTGCTGGTGCCCAGGGTACTCTGAGCATTAGTTACCAGGAGCAGCAGGCCTGGCACTGCCAACCAGGTACAGGGAAGAGAGAAATGGGCTCAGGTGCTCTCCTGGTACCCCTGGGCCATGGATGGAGACACCAGACAAGAGGTCCTGAGCCCTATCCTGGGGCAGGAGGAGGGGGAGGACCACCATTTATGGTGCATCTCCTCTGTGCCTCGCCACGCATTAGGCACCTGACTGTGTTTTCTCATTTATTCAATAAACATCCATTGAGCACCGACTGTATGCTAGGCACTGTCCCAGCTCCTTGGGATACAGTGGTGAGCAAGAGAGACCAAGTCCCAGCTCGCCTAACAACCCTAGGAGATAGGTACCATTGTCGTCCCATTTTACGGATGAAGAAACTGAGGCTTGCTATGGTTACATGATTTGCCACAGCTAGTGAGTGGACCCCAGCCTGTCTAACCCCTAAGCTTGCCCTTTTTCTTGCTACCTCTCGTGGCCGTTACCACACTCTCCAGGAGCCCCGGTACTGCCCTGGGCTTGGTCCTGCCTACTGTCCTGGGCTCTGGCCACCCCTTTTGGATCTGTACCACTGTTAGAGGCCCTGCCCCAATCTGTTTCCTCCTGTCCCCCCTTGCCAGGGCTTGGCCATATAACAACAGTTCAGTAACAAACCCTCCCGGGCACAGTGCTTGACAGTGACCTTTCACCTTCCACATCACCTTTGCCCTCACAGCCTCTCTGTTGGGGCAGACAGATGAGAAGACTGAGGGTCCAAGAGTGTCTCTGACTGGTCCCAGATGGCAGAGACACGACCAGGCAGTCCCAGGAGGCGCTGGTACCCTGCCCTGGCTCCCAAGGGAGATGGCCAGCCTAGGGAGTCTTCCCTGACCTCAAAGCTTGCTGTCGCTGCGCTGCCCCATGCCCCCACTCTGGCTCCCAGGGGAGACTGAGGCCCTGTCCCCTTCCAGAGGGCTGGGCAACAGGGCCACCTTTCTTCTCTCTTCTGGGTCAACAGCCACAGCGCCCGGAGGCAGAGCCAGGACAAGCCTGGTGACTGTGGGGCGTTCAATCAGCTCCCCTCACCCCACCCTTCACCCTGGCCCCCTGATGTTGCCTGCACCGTCACACATCCTCAGGGTGGGGGGTGGCGCGATGTCCACCTGACAGGTGGCCTTGCGCCTCATTCACTGTCAGCGAGGAAACTCCCAGAGGGCACCCAGGAAGGAAGGGCAGATGCGAGGGAAGAAGTGAACAGAGAAAGGCAGCAGAGAGCAGACTCATTCCCCAGATTTGATGCCAAGAGGCAGAGGAGAGCAGAGGGTGTGGAGAGGACCCCCAAGAGGGCATTCACACCTCTCTTGGTGGGGTTACCAGAGGCTAGAGTGGGAGCGGAAGCCCCAAGGCCTCTGGGCATCTCTCCCTAACTAGCTCCATGCTACCCCCTAGTGGCTTCAGTGCCAACTACAGGACCAGCGCCGGTGATGTCCGAGGGGGCTTAGCGGGGCAGGGAGCCCCCGCTTACTGCTTTCCTGATTCTCCCCTGCTCCTCTCTGTTTTCCCAGGCCTCTGCGGGAGAAGATGAAGCCAGAAAGGTAAGCAGCCTGGCTGGGGCACCGGGCTGTTCTCAGGCCTGCCAGCCCCTGTCCTAGCATGGGGGTCCCCAGCCACTCTGTCCTGACGCTTTTGGCTTATTACAGGAGGAGACCCAAGGGCAGGGGGAAGAGGAAGAGAGAGAAGCAGAGACACACAGACTGCCACCTGTGAGTGCGCGGGGGGCCCAGGGATGGCAAGGAGGCTGGGCCAGCGGGGAGCCCAACCCTGCCAGCAGGGTCAGTGGTCGGGGAGGGACAAAGCCAGTGGTCGGGGGCCACAACCTAGAGATTCTAGGGCCTAGGAAGCCTCAGGTGAACCAGGACAGGAACCAGGAAGCCTTGCTTCTTGTCCTGGCTTAGCTCTAAGTTTCTGTGTGGCCTTGAGCAGGTCACGTCACCTCTCTGAGCCAAGTTTTTCTCTGTGTGTAGAATGAGGGGTCAGGGGGTCCACCAAGCATTCAGTCGGTCTACGTTTACTAAGCACTTACTGTGTGCCAGGTACGTCAGTGGGCAAACCAACAAGCTTCCTGCTCTTACAGGGCTTACATTCTAGTGCTAAAACGTCCAAACACTCAGCCAGGGCTACCTCCTGGTGGCCCTGGGGAAGGTGTAGCCCCTCACCGGCTCCCAGACCAATATTTCTTCCACCCTCCCAGGGAGCCTTGGGGTCCACTCGCTTCCCTTTCCCTCTCCATGTTACCTGCCCATTTGGCTTCACATCCGGAGGACTAGGCTGGAGTCCAAGCCTGAGTGTTGGGAGAGCAGGATTAGAGAAGGGAAAACCCAAATCTGTGAGAGTAAAGAGTAAAAATAAAGGATTTCATCATGCACAGTAACTCAGTCACACCACGGTTCTCCTTCAGGGCCTGTCTCCTTCCACCAACAGGACTCAGGAAATCATTTCATGCCATGGGACTGGGGCTGGCCAAGTCCTACCCCATGAGCCCAACCCTGCACGAGCGGAGACCTCCACCCCACTCTGTGAAGATAGGGATGCTGGGGAGGATTCTGGGTGGGTCCTCTGCAGGCACATGGCACTAATTTCTCCCCTGGGCCCAAGCAGCGACTGGGGGAGGAGCTGGCAGTGTAGTCAGTGCGGGGCTCCCCAGCTGGGCAGCCCCAGATGGAAAGCGGCCTGTCCTCTATCTGCTAGGGCAGCAGTCTTCAAACGTTTCATTCGGGAATCTCTTGAAAGAAATTCAAAAACTCACGTGCTCCCTTGTTCACTTTTAAGTTGACATTGAACTTTTTCATCAAAATTGTAAATAGTTGCAAAGGATGTAACTTCTGGCCGATCATGAATATTAATATTTTAATATAAAGCCATTATATCACTCTCCAAATGTATCCTGTGGAATAAGCCATCCTAATTTAATACCATCATCCACTCTTAAAAAAACTGAACAACAGCAACAAAAAAAATACATGAACGCTCTCCTTTGATAGTTGAATATTTCCATTGCTTCTTTTTTCCTTGAACTTGTCTTTCCACTTTACTTTCCCCACAGAATTTCAGCCTAATGTATTTTTTTTAATATTCAAATGTCTTTTATTTATCACCTTGTCATATTTATCTGCGACAACAATGGTTTGAATTATTTTAAATTTTCTGTGAGCAGAAAACTCGAAATTCAATTTTCTCTTGGAATGAATTATCACAATAATTATTATCAGTAGCAACTGATCAAAACAGCACAAATACATCATATTTTACTAGATGCTAAACGCAGAAGTACAACCCATCTTATTGGGAATGCACCTCAATGAGATGGATGCAGCTACTTCTTTTCAATTAGTTAATGAACTCAGTAACGAATGTTACCTCCTGCCAGACTGAGGCAGGATTCAATAGTAATCCCATTCCTGTGCATCGTTTTTTATAGATGAAAAGACTGAAAAACCATGTTCACATAAACAGGTAAATGGGACTGGAAGTCACTCAATCACTTGAACTCCTTCCAAGTTGTTTGCCAAAAACCTCAAGGTGATCTGCTACAAAAATTACTTCTCATGACAGATTAACTGACAATTCGGTTAAGCTGTTCTTCAATTTTGTTGAAAGCAGACTTGGAAACCACCCCACTTGCAAAATGCTTGCTTACCCAGTCAGTCACCATATTTCCTTTCTCAACGCCTACAACAATGTCTCAGATGGTTATTTTATTCAGTGTCCCCTCGAATCCTTCTTACCTTGGGGAAAAGTACTGTAACAGGATTTAGAATGGACAAGATGCTTCCTTCCTTCCTAAGGGAGAAGGGCAACTGGGAACAAGATGGTGGGAAGCAGACCTCAGGTGGAGAAGATGGGGGAAGCGGACCTCTCACGCAGACAGTTTTCAGGCAGAGTACATGGGAAGGCTGAAAACGAATTTCTTTAAAACCATCAGTACATACACCTTGGAAAACCTTCACGTACACCTAGGGGTTCCCATATCCTCGTTTGAAGACTGCTGTCCCAGAGTAAGCAAAGGCATTGATGCATGGAGCCAAATTGCGTTCAAAGTAGACTTCGTCTCTGACTAACTGTGTGACCTTGGGCAAGTTTCTTAACCTCTCTGAGCCTCAGTTTCCTCATCTGCAAAAGGATGATAGTGCCTTACTCATGGGATATTTTTAAGGGTAAACGAGAAAGTGCTTAGCGCGGGGCTGGGTACCTGGGTGCGTGCTTGGTGAGGGGTAGCTCCTAGATGCTTCTTGGCCTCGTGCAAGCAGAGATCCAGGCTTCCCATGCTCCCTGTCCAAGCTTCCCCTCTGGGTTTGTCCCCCCTCCCATAGGAGGGACCCCACCCTCCACACTGGGCTGATACCCCCTTTCTGTGTTTGATCTCTGGCAGGTGCGGCGATACTGTTCCCCGGAGGTAACCAGCCCCTCGGAGGAGAGAGACCCCACACCCAGCTCGAGTATTTATTACCGTCACACTCTCAGTTACCTCCCTGCTGGCACCTGCCCTCTATTTATTAGCCAATTGTATCCCTGCTGAATGACTCACTCCCTCCAAGAGGAGGGGCAGGGAGGGACAGGACCCTCAGGAATTCAGTGCCTTAAACAGAACGTGAGAGAAAGACAGAAGACAGACCCATGTGGCTTCAGCTTGGGAAGAAGCAAGACGTGTGGCTTTGTGAGGGGCAGGCCAGGCCCCAGAGGCTCCGGGGGTCACCAGGGGGCTGGAGAGGGAAGGACTGGAGACCCACCGCCTGCCCCCCGGCCTTGGGCTCCGCATGGACCAGCAGCCCTTGCTGGGGGAGCTCCTGGCCGGGGTGGGAGTGGAGAAGCCTGCTCCCACTGGCCCTGCTGGGAGAGTGAGCAGGCAGCAGCTCTGCACCCTCTTCCTGGCAGCAGCTCTACCCCTGGAGATCAGAACATTCAGCTGTGGAGAACAGTGGTTGCCTGGGGGCCTTGGCCACTCCTTGTCCCCTAGGTCTGGCCTCACATCTTGCCACTGCTTGTGCTGGGACATTGTTCTTTACGGCTAAGGCGTCACCATCCTGCCCCTCCCAGGGACACAGGCAAAGAGTGGCCCCAGGCTGGACATGGAGCGAGCTGCCCCCGCGTGGCTGTTTGACCACCAAGCCAGATTCTCTTGAATAAAGTATTTTAGTCTGGAAACAGCTTTCCAGGGGAGTGTGTCGGCCAGAGCAGCGGGCAATAGCAGGACATGGAAGCAGGACAGAAGTAAAAGGGACCGTGGGCTCCAGGGCTCCCCGGGGGTAGCTCGAGCCTGTTGCTGCAGCTCCCTGGGGCATCTTCTCCCAGGTGCTTTAGGCACGACCCTGAGGCCCACTCCTCCCGTAATGAGGGGTTCCCAGGATGGAGGCTTGGCCCCAAACTTGGGAGGCCCTGACCCCAGCCACCCCGATCACCCTCAAATTCAAGAGCACAGTCCCCTTCCTCTCCCCGCCAGGGCCACCCTATACCCAGCCCAGTGCCCTACCCTCTGGACCCTGAGTGAATGGGGGCTCCCAGGTGCCACAGATTGTGGCCCTGGGGGACTGAACTGCACCACCTCCAACCCACGCTGGCTGCTGAACGCAGGGATTGGCAGATGCTGCCTGATCTCTTCCTCCTTTGACCTCCTGTCTTCCTCTGTCTTCCTCCTGAACACCTTGGCATGAAATGAGAAAAAAATGTTTTTTCTTTTTTCAATCCCATACACTTACTCTCTGATTCCCTTCTGCCTTTGACCCACAAGATGTGTTTGTTTTCCTGTTGTGTTTTGGGAAGGGGAGCTCCCTGTTCTCTCTAATTGCAGGCTCCTCAGACAAAGCCACAAGGCCCGGGGGCAGGGGCCCGCCCCAGGCTTTGGAAGGAAGCCAAGGACGCTCCAGTGAGGTAGGTGGAGTGGGGAGGCCCTGCTGAGGCCCTTGGTGGTCTGTTCACCGAGGCCTGGGCCCCCCTGGAGGACAGTCTGGTCAGAATGTGCTTCTGGCTGGTGATCACAGAGTAGGGGTGGGCCAGCCCCGGGGGACACGCTTTGCAGAAGAAACGCACTTTCTCTCCAGCTTCTCCACTCTTGGGCTGGACGCATTCCCCGAGGCGTTGCCTCTGAGGGACTGAGAACTGAGAAGAGCACCCCTCCCCCTTAGGCTCTGATGTGGCCCCAGGGACCCTACCGCAGCCCTTGCAGCATCTCCAAGGCTCTCAGATTCACAAGTCACCCGCATGGAGGTCTGCCTCCCCACCCAGACCAGCCACCTCTGTAGAGAACTAGACAGAGACCAGGGGAGCATCCAGAGGCCAGAAGCAAAAGTCTGCATCCGGGCCAGAGCCTCACAGCAGGAGTCAGTAGGAAAGGAGCTGACTGTCCACCTGACTACACTGGCCGTCCTTTCAAATCATTTAGGACATAGAGGGCCCTTTTCCTTTGCTCTTTATATATTTGTGGAGCCCCACCTGTGTACCTGACACTGTCCTAGGCACCAAGGACTCAGTGGGAAATAAAACTCCCAGGACCTGCTCTCATGGATCTTGTATTTAGTGGAGAGACAGACCATAATCGTGGTCCAATAAGGATGTTGGGTGGACTTTATTCTTTTTCAAATTGGAGACTGGACCATAACTTAGGAAAAAGGGGTCTTGAGTATCCCACACTCTAAAACAAAGAAGAAGCAATTTGGGGCTGGACACATCTGCCTACAGGATTTATTAAGAGATGGCTGAAGTAATCCTGCTAGGCTCAAACATCACCCAGCATCCCCTTCCTCAGTCTCCATAAGCGGAGGACCAGGGAGGGGGAAAGGAGAGAGAAGGAGGGGAGGTCACCAGAGACCTGGGTTGCTGGCCCCTTCTCCTCTCCCTGGAGCTGGATTTGTCATTCAGATTAGCCCATGTGCTAGCTGGCTGGGAGTTGGAGGAATGGAGAACTGAATAGTGAGTAACAGAGGATGGGGAGAGGGGACACCTCAGCACCTCCAGTGGGAGTTTCCAGGGGGACATAGGGGAAGGTGAATGGCCACGAGCCTCCTTTCCCGTGTTCTCCCAAGAGGGATACGTGCAGATGAGGAAACCCCAGAGGCTCGAGGCTGTGGACCTAGGGTTGGGACAGTAGCTGAGTGGAGGTGTCAGGTATAGATCTGGAAAGGGCACACAGTAGGGAGCAGTGCGTGGGGTAGCCCTGTAGTGTGCAGTGCACCCACATGAGAGTGGACATCTAGACGCCCGTCATACGAGGCACATTCATAGCTGGAGAAGAAATGGCCACAGCCAAGAGAAACTTTCCCCTAATTTCTCCTTCCCGGCCCTGTGAAAAAAGAGAAAGGGACTTTGGCGAGGAAAATAGAGAGGAGTACAGGGGCAGACTACGCCTCTCCCCGCTCCCTTGAGCCAAGTCCAGGCCCTGCCCAGGGGAGAGAAAGGGCTTAGTCTTAAATTGGATGGACCAGCCTAGATGGGGCTGGACCTTTAATAAATTAAAGTGACAGGAACATTAGAAGGTCTGCCCAAGATGCTATTAAGAAACAGGAAAAGGAGGATCAACATAGTTAATCTACAAGCAATGATGAGAGAAAGAAACTGGTTTGTTTGTGCTCCCACGGTTTGCTCAATAAGCAATCTATACATGTAAACAGAGAAATTAACGAGAAAATGACTTATTGCCAGAATACGGTTCTGGCATATTAGAGATGGCCCTTCCTTTGAGTTGACCTGGGTCTGCTTTGATCAATAGAGTATAGCAGAAGGGACTTTATAATTGTTCCAAGTCCTTTAAAGAGCACTAGCAGCTTCTGCCTTGGTCTCTTGGAACCCTGGGCTGCCATGTAAGCAGTCCAACTATTGTGAGGTCACCATGTTGGAAGGAAGCCCAAGCTAGCAATTTAGATACGTATGGATATGTAGGCAGGGGTAGCAGCCAGCTTCCAGTTGCTCCAGCTCCCAGGCATTACAGTCATCTCAGCTGAAGCCCCAGACCCCATAGAGAAGAGAGACATTAGCTGTACCCACTGTCCCCTGTTTGATTTCCTAATCCATAGAATTATGAGATGTAATAAAAACAAAGTGTCTGGGGGCAGTTTGCTATGCAGCAATAGGGGCTGAATGGAAAATAAGGAAAGGTGATGAGATAGTGTTTGGGGAAGGTTCTCTAGACCAGGAGGTCACGGAAGGCCTCTCTGTGGAGGTGACATTTATGGTGAAGTTATGGTCATGTGAAGATCACTCCAAAACAGGACAAGAGCCCTTTGAACAGAAAACACAGCTGATGCAAAGGCCTAGAAGGAATCCCAGTGTGGCTAGAGCGTGATGAGTAAGGAAGGAAGGGCCAGGAGATGTGATGTTAGAGGTAGGCAGGTCATGAAGGGCTTTGCAGGGTAAGGAGTTTGAATTTTGTTGTAATGTAGAGGGAAACCACTGGAGGGTTTCAAGCAGGGGAATGAAGTGGCATTACGTACATTTTTGAAAGATCACTCTGCCTTCCATGCGGAGGATGGACTCTAAGGGCACAAGCCCAGAGGTACAAATACCACCTCGAAGGCTATAGCAAATCCAGACAACCAATTATGGTGGCTTTGTCTAGGAAGAAGCACATGGAATGGAGAGAAGTAGAGTTTGGTCTTAATTATGCATGTGGGCTTGTTACTCCGATCATTCATTCATTCATGAACATTTTTTGAGTCTACTAGGACCAGGCATTTTGTAGCAGATACATGTGTGAAGGGGCAAAATATGTTAGCACATGAAAGTCTTTCCAGCGTCCCCACTTACTAAAGAAAATCCCATTCTGGAAGAAATAAGGATAAAGAGAGAGGTCTTAGCTGGAAAGACTAAGTTGTCTACCTGAGAACTAAGAGAGAGAAGGCACGATTCTGAGAGAGAAATAAAAGATGCCAGGGCCAGAGCTAGAGAAAGAGCTTGGTGCTCTGCTTGGAGCTTCTGATGATTTAAGACAGCATGGGGAGCGAAGGAAGGGTTTGGGGAATGTTGCTACACTTCCCTAATGCTGAAGGCCCTAATGTTCTTAGGCAGAAACCCAACCCAGTGAAACACCTGGATTAGCTAGGATTACACAGAGATAGCTAAGACATTGTCCCTGCTCCTAGAAAAACTCGTCAAAGGAATCAGATACGCACAGGTGATCACAACAGAAGGAAAGAAGGCCACATAGCTTCAGCAAAGGCAGATGGAGTGCTACTAAAGAAATCCGAGCTGAGGTGATTTACCCATGGAGAAAGTCAGGGCCAGCTTTGCAAAGTCAGTGACATTGAGGAATAGGCAAGCCTGAGTGCAGGGAGATGGCTGGGGAAGGTGTTCTAGGTGGAGGCAACCCACTAACAAAGACCCAGAGGTGCACCCCCTCCCCCAAATCCAGGGTAAAAGCCAGGGCTTTTCCAGTGGTTCAGTGTGACTGATGCATAAGGTAGGTGCAGCAGAGGAGTGATGGATAAGGCCAGAAGGTGGGCTGGGCCCCAGGCGCCATCCTTGGGAGTCAGGACTTTGGGAAGCAGTGGGAGGCACGGAAGTGTTTTAGGCAGGAGGGTGAGGTGATCTTGGAATTCCAGGCTGAAAGAAAATTTACAAATAATCCATTTCCATACCCTCATTTTGCAAATGAAGAAGCTGAGGGCCAGGTGCGTCCAAAGCCGTGGAAGTTAAGTGAGTCAGAATTTCACAATTGACCAGTAAGTGACAGGAATGGAATTGAATCCAGATCTGGATCCAAACTCCGTGCTCTCTACCCCTCACCGCATCATCTCTCCTCAGGATGGAGCGCAGAGGAGGGGAGGGGAGGAGAACTGTGTCTGCTCCAAACCTAAGAAGCAGGCCAGACATCTGCGTGGTGGGTCCACAGAACGGGCCCCTCTGCACACACTGGTGGGAAACCGAGGCTCCAGACAGGGCGGTGACAGGACAGAGCCTTGGTGTGGAAAGACGGCTCTGTCAGCACCGGAGCCCGGCAGCTGTTTTCCTAGAGAAGGCCGACCCTTCCCTTTCCTGAGGGAAGCCTGGAGTGTGCTCTCCCTACCCCGACGCTGGCTGTGACTGAGGCAGATGAGGGCCTGGTCCCTGCTAGCCATCTGTGGATCCCACCTCACAGGCCACGGGGCTCCAGGCCAAAAAGATAGTGTGTTTCTAGCCCCTGAGGTAGCTTTTTACCATGGCAACCACCAGGCAGGACAGTCCGGCGGGGAGGAGGGTGAGGGCTTCCCCACGGGGCTGGGCACCCTCCCACCCGCATTCCTCCCACGGAGAGGGCGTTACCTGGGTGACGGGCAGAGGGCCCTGCGGCCATACTGACCGTCCGTCGAGGCACTTTGGAGAATCAGCCCCTGTCCTCACTGGACTCGGAAGAGGAGAGTCCCCCACCGCCAGCCCCCATCTCTAGGCCTATCCCTTCTTCTCTCCCATCTAAGGCCCCGGCTCCCCCACCCCCACCCCCACCCAGCAGTCAGCCCGGGCCCCCCATGAGTCACCGTGTGAGCCACTCAGCAACGGGAGCCTCTGTGCTCACACAGCCAGGCCGGCAGCCCTGGTTGTTTACAGACATGTAACCGCCTGACGCCCCCAGCGGGGGTCTGAGGTTTAGACTGTAATGATGGTGATATCCGCCCCTCCTTGAGCTCTTTATCCCTCCCAAAGCTGTCCCTGCCACAGTCCTCTTCGGAAGCCTGTGAAGTCTTTTCATTTGCCAGACAAGTTGGAAGGAAGTACTGAGAGGGTGAGAAATCTGCCCGAGGAATTCCAGCCCCAGAGTCTCTGGAGGGTCCAGGGGGCTGACAGCTGGCCGCGGCTGCCACACAGCGAGGCAGAAGCTGAGGCCTCGTGGGCTCTGATCGGCTCATGGACCCCGGGCCAGCCCTTTGGGGTCGTGGAGGTCATCACTCAGGAGGGAGGGCCCAGTCGGAACCTGAGGGTAGGGGGGAACCTGAGGGTAGGGGGGCACCCGGGAGCTATGCCTCCCCCACCCCAGATCACTGGAAATACAACTTCTCACCAGACCTGCGGAGGTAAGGAGGGGATAGCACTCTTCTCTCACAACCAAGTCCTGAGTCCAAATCCAGGAAGCTCTGGGTGCCTTTGGGATCCTTCTTTAGAAACCAGTCCTGGCCAATCAGGATTAGCTGTAGCACAAAGACTCCCCCTGGGCTGTTTCACTGAGACCCTTCATCTTCATGTATGTGTGGACTGCCCTGCCATCTCTTCCCTTCTCTTTCCTTCTCTTCCCATCCTCTTAGGAAAAGATGGATTGTTATGTGGCTATAGTAACAAGTAACTCTTAGCACCAGTTATCTACCCGGCTTCTTCTACGACCACTTGTTTCAGTAACCATGCTCCTGGAGCCGCACGCTCCAGCAGTCATAGCCCACCCTTCTGAGAATAACCAGTCAGCAGCGATCTCACTCCATTGAGGGTGCTTCTAGAGCCAAAGGTCGACCATTCCTAAACACTCTGAAAGTTGACCCATCGCTGAACTCCACGCTTCCCCAAAGCCTATATGAGATGACCTCTCCCCCTTGCTCAGAGATGCCTTTGCAGGTACAGCTCTCTTAAGCAAGCAGTACACTCAAGACTCTTCTTTCTGATAGTGAGCGGTCACATCTTCCTTTAAAACTCTGCCCCCCACCCAGATATTTCCTATAACCTATCACAAATTCCTCCAAAATCCAGAGAACGAGCAATACATTGTTTTCAGCTTTGGTATAAATTTGGCCTAAGCTGGGCCCACAAGTGCTTTCCTTCTTATCCCTCTGCCCTCCCCCAGCATTCCAGCTCCATCCTGGACCCACATGGAGCATCCACAAGACAAATAAACCTCTCTTTTGATAAAGTGGATCACTTCCCTTGGCATAATTTTGGGCATGTTGCGTTATGTCAAATGACCCCCTCCTCCTCCCACCACCAGGCATGAAGACAGGGAGAAGGGAGGAGGTGGAGGAGACATCCTGACACCGAAATGAGATCGTAATATATTCATGATGTTATAACTTGCTTCTTAAACTTAATATGTTGTAGACATTCCCCACAACGATAGATATTCTTCTACGATATAGTTTTTTAAGCACTGAATTGCTTTGCGTCACTTGGATATCCCGTAATTTGATTACTTGATCTGTTGCTGGATATTTAGTTTCTCTTTGTTGTTGTTGTAATAAACAATACTATGATGAACGTCCTTGTGGATATGTCTTTGTGTGTAAAAGTCTTTCCCATCATAAAAATAACAACAGCAGCCGGAATTAAACCCAGACTTCAATGGCACGTTCACCCTCCAGGGGCCTCCCTATCCCAGTCTTGTGCTTTAGATCCACGTGTTTTGAGATTTGTCTATATTTTCAGTCTCTTTCTTGGCATTTCTACTCACTATCATAACACAGCCCTGCGAAAGTGATTCCAGCGATTTCCATGGTGCCAATCAGAGTGTCCAGTTTTCATCTTACCCAACAGCACACAATATTCTGAGAATTAAACTCCCAGTCCTTTCCTCAGCCTACAGGCCTCCATGAGGTCAGAGCCCTGTCCACCTCCCCAACCTCATCTCAAGCCATGTCCCCTCTTTCTCTAAAGCCTAACACACTTACCTTTTCTTAGTTCTGGGAATTTGTGGTACCCCCCTCAGGGCCTTTGCTCATGCAGTTTCTTATGCCAGGAAATCTTTCCACCCTCTCACGCCCAACTCCTTACCCTTGCTGACTAATACACATGCATCATCCACAACTCAGCTCAAAGACACTTCCTCAGGCAAGTTTCCCAAACATCCCTCCGCATCAGACTAGGTCTAGCCCACCATTAAAGGCTATGGAGCACTGTCTACTTCCTTGTAGCATTAATCACTATATGCTGAAAAATAATTATATATTTTCATGTATATATATATATATATATATATTTCATATGTAATTTTTTTTTTTTTTTTTTTGTGGTATGTGGGCCTCTCACTGTTGTGGCCTCTCCTGTTGCGGAGCACAGGCTCCGGACGCACAGGCTCAGCGGCCATGGCTCACGGGCCCAGCCGCTCCGCGGCATGTGGGATCTTCCCGGACCGGGGCGCAAACCCGTGTCCCCTGCATCGGCAGGCGGACTCTCAACCACTGCGCCACCAGGGAAGCCCCCATATGTAATTTTTAAAAATTAATTTATTATCACAAATAATATACGAGTTTACTTTGCCCTTTAAAAACATAGAACATTACGGGTATTGCAGAGCTTTATTTGACCACTACCCAGCTCCTCCCCCAAGTCTCGCTCCCTGCCTTCCCCCACTTCCTAGATAACATCACTGTTATGAGCTTAAGATGATCAGCATCGTGGCTCAGAGGTTCGGTTCTGGAGCCAAACTGCTAAGATTTGAGTCCCAGTGCTTGCTCCTACTTCCTATGTAACCTTAAGCAAGTTACTTAATCTTTCTCTGCCTCAGTTCTAACATCTGTAAACTATGGATTAATAATCTTAACTAATAGGGTAGGATTAAGATTTATATGAGATGTTCCATGTTAAGTGATTGGGGTAGTGCCAGGCTCATAATAAGTGCTGAGTAGAAGTTAACTATTACTACATGTGATAGTTAATTTTATGTGTCAGCTTGACTGGGTCATGGGGTGCCCAGATATATGGTTAAACGTTATTTCTGGATGTGTCTGTGAGAATGTTTCCAGACGAGATTAGCATTTGTATTGGTAGATTCAGTAAAGCAGATTGCCCTCCCCAATGTGGATGAGCGTCATTCAATCCACTGAGGGCCTGAATAGAACAAAACAGTGAAGGAGGGGAAAATCCACTCTCTCTGCCTGACTGAGCTGGGACGCTGATCGGAGACTTATGCCCAGTGTTCCTGGTTCTCAGGCCTTCAGACTCAGACTGGAGCTAGGCCAGGCTTTTCTAGGTCTACAGCTTGCAGACATCAGATCAGCAGCTCATGGGACGTCTCAGCCTCCATAATTGCACGAGTCATTTTCTTACGGTAAGCAACCTATCACCTATCTATCTATCTATCTATCTATCTGTTTATCCAACCTATTGGTTCTGTTTTTCTGGAGAGTCCTAATACTCTATAATATATAGATCGTATACAGTATTTGTGTGTGTGTGTAGTTTAAAAATATAAATATAGGGACTTCCCTGGTGGTTAAGAGTCCACCTTCCAATGCAGGGGACCCAGGTTCGATTCCTGGTTGGGGAACTAAGATCCCACATGCTGTGGGGCGACTAAGCCCGCGTGCCACAGCTACTGAGCCCACACACTCTGGAGCCCACATGCTGCAACGAAGAGCCCTCAAGCTCTGGAGCCTGCACGCCACAACTAGAGAGAAGCCCGTGCGCCACAAAGAAGAGCCTGCATGCCGCGACTAAGACCCCACGTAACCAAAAAATAAAATAAATAAATAAAAAATAAATATTAAAAATATAGGACTTTCCTGGTGGCGCAGTGGTTAAGAACCCGCCCGCCAATGCTGGGGACATGGATTCAATCCCTGTTCCAGGAGGATCCCACATGCCGCGGAGCAACTAAGCCCATGCGCCACAACTACCGAGCCTGCGCTCTAGAGCCCGTGAGCCACAACTACTGAGCCCGTGCGCCACAGCTACTGAAGCCTGTGCACCTACAGCCCATGCTCCGCAACAAGAGAAGCCACCGCAATGAGAAGCCCGCGCACTACCACAAAGAGTAGCCCCCGCTTGCCGCAACTAGAGAAAGCCCATGTGCAGCAACGAAGACGCAACGCAGCCAAAAATTTTTTTAAAAATTACAAAAAATAAATACATAAATCAAAAATATATATAAATATAAATGGCATCATATGGCAGGTAGCTCTTAGGAACTGACTGTTTTTACTCAACAATATGTTTTTCAGATCTTGCATGTTCGTACACAGAGATTTAGTTCTGTTTCATTCCTTTAAAATGCTGAATAATAATAATAACTCAATATATGAATATACCACATTTTATTAATTCATTTCTACATTGATATTTCACAAGATACTAAATTTGGAATTTTTTCCAATTTTTTAATATTGCAGGCAATGCTGCAGTGAATATCCATGTATATCCTTACGTATCTTAGCAAGTGTTTTTTTTTTTTTTAGATTAAATGTCTAGAAGTGGAATTGATAGGTCATAGATTATGTGTATTTCCATTTTAAATGGAAATATAAATCACCCTCCAAATATACTAATTCCCATATCCCTCCCCACCAGGAATATTTAAAAGGTGATTTCTACCTGAAGATCGTGCTGATATTCTTCGATACTTTCTTCTAAAATTTTGAGGTTGTTCTCTTTTTTTTAATTTAGAATTTTAAACTTGAATTTAATTTTGTATAAGGTATGAGGAAGAGATCAATTTTTTTTCCTTAAGTCAATTGTCCCGACACCTCTCATGAAGAATTCATCCTTAGCCCACTGGTTCGAAATGCCTTCTTTATCCTAAGTCAAATCCCCTAGATACATGAATTTTTTTTTTGGACTCCAGTCTATTCTTATCTATTTATGTGTACCCACGTCACCTCTTTTAAAAATTGCAGCTTTATAATAACTCTTTAGATCTGGTAAGGCAAGATCCTAACCCCCACCATTTGTTTTTTTCCAAGGGGCTGGGCTATTGTTGCACATTTCCATATACTGTGTAAAATCGTCATGAGATATTATGTATCTGTATGTCTGTGTCTTTACTACTGTTTTTCTCCATTAGAAAAAGAGCTCCAGGAAGGCGTTTTTGTTTTGTTTTATTTACCACCATCTCCTTACTATCTAGAACAGGGTTAGGCCCATAGTAGGCCCTCCATAAGTTTTTGTTAAGGGAATGAATAAACATATGGATTTTAGAAGCATCCCGTCAAGTACTACAGAGTGTTTTTAGTATTTTGATTGAGATTGCATTGAAGTTTTAAATTATTTCGGAGAGAATCAACATCTTTACGACGATAGTCATTCCCTTATTGAACACAGCACGTCTCTCCATTTTTTGTGACTTTCAATTTTATTATTTCCTCCATGAAGGTCTTATATACTTCTGATTAGTTTATTCATAAGCATTTCATAGTTTTTGTTACTGTGATGAATGGGATTTTAAAGTTATTATTACATTTTCAAATTGTTATTGTTGATATATAGAAAAGTTCTCTTGATTTGTAAATATTGAACCGTTCTAACTCACTAATTGTTGCTCTGGGTTTTCTAGGTGAGTAATCACATTATCACAAATAATGGCAATTTGGTCTCTCCCTTTCCAATCTTTAAACCTCTTCTTTTTTTTGTTTTGGCTTGTTTGTTTGTTTACATCTTTATTGGAGTATAATTGCTTTACAATGTTGTGTTAGTTTCTGCTGTACAACAAAGTTAATCAGCTATATGTATACATATATCCCCATATCCCCTCCCTCCCACCCTCCCTATCCCACCCCTCTAGGTGGTCACAAAGGACCAAGCTGATCTCCCTGTGCTATGCAGCAGCTTCCCACTAGCTACTAGCTATTTTACATTTGGTAGTGTATATATGTCATTGCTACTCTCTCACTACCTCCCAGCTTCCCCTTCCCCCCCTCACCCCGTGTCCCCAAGTCAGTTCTCTTCATCTGCGTCTTTATTCTCTTCTTTGTTTTTAATTTCTTATCGTGTTAGTTGTAACTTCCAGTATATTGTTGACGAGTAGAGATCTTGGCTCATTTCTGACTGCACTGGGGTATCATTCAAGATAGGTCAAGGTTTGCTGCAGTAACAAACAGTCCCAAAATCTAGTGGCTCAACACAATCAAAATTTATTTCTCATTTACACCTCATATTCAACACAAGTCATGGGTCAGGGAGGGGTTCCTTATTGTTATTTCTCAGAGACTCAGGCTGATGGAGGCTAAGCACGTGGACGTGTGCTTCCACAATCACTATGGCAGGAGGAATTATGTACTGGCTTTTGAAGCTTCCACCCTGAAGTAACTGCTGTTCGGTCCACTGACATTTCAAAGCAAGTCGCATGGCCAAGCCTAACTTCCAAAGGGGTAGGGAAGTGTGATCCTTCCATATGCCAGAAGAACAGCTGGACCGTGGGAATGCTTCTCATGCTCCACCGTTACACATGGTGTTTGCTCTAAGTTTCTGGTAGATAACCCTTTATCAAGTTAAGAAGTAAGTGCACGAGTTTGTTTAGAACTTGTTAAATAAAGAGTTTGTCCTTATCATGAATGAGTGTTAAATTTTATCAACTGTTTTTATGTCATCTGTTTGATGTGTAAATGTTATTTTTCTCCCTTAATTTGTTAAGGCATTTATATATGCTGTTTCTTTACCCAGAACATTCTCCTCCGCTGTCCTCTTCAAACAGTTTTCCTGGTTAATTCTCATTCTTTAGAGCTCATTCACTCATCCAGCCAATATTGATTGAGCAATGCTATGTGCCAGATGTTGTTCTAGGCACCTGGGATACATCTGGGATACATCTGGGATACAGAGCAGATAAAGGTCTTGCCCATGTGGATCTTACACTGGGGGGAGGAAAGAAAAGAAACGTATAAAATAAATAAGTAAATTAGATAGCATGCCAATAGTCTTGAGTACAACAGAGAAGAAGCAGAGCAGAGCAAGGGAGAAATGGAGATGTTGGGAGGGTATAGTCAGAGTAGGTTTCTCATGATATCAGGGCAACGACTCAAAGCAGGGGCAGAGTTTACTAGGTAGGTATCCAAAAGCAGACTGTTCCAGGCAGAGGGTAGCAGTGGGGCAAAGGCCCTGGGGTGGGAATTGCCATGTGGGTTCTAGAAGCAGTGAGGAAGTTCCGGGATTGAAGCTGAGTGAGTGAGCCTGGCAAGGGATGAAGCTGGAGAAATAGTAGAGGAGGGTGACTGTGAGGGCCTTAGAGGTCATAGCAGAGCCTTTGAGTTTTTCTTGGACTAAGATGGGAGCCCTTGCAGACTTTTGAACAGAAGGACAGAATCTGACTGAGCTTTGAAAGGATCCCCCTGATGCAGTGGTGAGAACCACCTTTAGGGTGGCAAGGGTAGAAACAGGAAGACAGGAGGAATCGCCTACGATAACTCAGGTGTGAGATGAAGATGCTCCTACGAGAGTCATAGCAGTGGAGGTGGTGAGAAGTGCTGAGATTCTGGATACATTCTGAAGGAAAAACCATGATGATATTCTAATGGATTAGATGTGGAGTGTGAGAAAATAAGAGAAACCAGGATGGCTTTATGGCTTTAATGGAGCTGGAAGAGTGGAAGAGGCTTTAGGTGGAGAAGGTTTCAGGTGGGGGAGGATCAAGGGTTCAGGTTTTTTTTTTTCTTTTTCATTATGATAATTATTTTATTGAGATAAAATTCACATATCATAAAATTCACCTCTTTAAAATGTGACTTCGATGGTTCTTAGAATATTCATGAGTTGTGCAACCATCACACTATCTAATTCCAGAACATTTGTTGACCCCCCCAAAAGGAACCCATACCCATTATCCACTCTCCTTCCCCCCCCAGACATCTACTTTCTGTCTCTATGTATCTGCTTATTTTGGAAATGATATATAGATGGAATCATACAGTATGTAGCCTTTTGTGTCTGACTTCTTTCATTCAGCATAATTTTTCCAAGGTTCTGGACTCTTTGAATTTGAGGTGTTTTATTAGACTATTAAATATTTAAGTCTGGTAGAGAGGTGAGGGCTAAAGGATACAGAAAATATAAGATATCTGTAAATATATATACAGAATCATCAATATATGGAAGAATACTACTTAAAATCATGAGACTAGGTGCAATCCCTCATCAAGTGAGTAAGGACAGAGAGAAGGAAGATGCCCAAAACTGGCACACTCGAACATCTGGAAGAGAAGAAGCCATCACAGGGGACAGAGAAGGGGCTGCTGGTGAGAGGGAGGCAATAGAGAGTATGGATCCTGGAAGCCTGGGGAGAAAGTGCATGGACAGAAGGCTGTGATCACCTGGGTCAGATGCTCCTAAGAGGTCAAGTAAGATGAGGACTGAGAAATGACCATTGGGTTTAGCACCCAGGAGGTCATGGAGCTCCTGGTTGACCAAGAGCTATTTCAGAGGGATGTCAGGGAAGAAAACCTCATCAGAGCGGGTTCAAGAATGAGTGGGAGAAGAGAAACTGGAGACAGGAGAGACATCTCTTTTGAGGAGTTTTGCTGCAAACCTGGGGTGGTAGATAGGAGAGAAGTGAGGCCAAGAGTGTTTTTTGTTTTGTTTTCAAGATGGGAGAATCAGCATGATGTTTGTTTCAGACAGGAATGAACGATGCAGTGGGAGCCAAAAATTAATGATGTAGGAGAGAAAGGGGAGAATTGCCGGACAGGGTTCCTTGAGGAGGTGACGGGACAAGATTGATCCCAAGGGGAAGGTTGGCCTTTGATGGGGCTCGGACAGGTCATCTGTCGAAAGAGATGGGGAGACAGTATGTGGGTGCAGACCTGGCCAGAAGGCAGATAGCAGGCAGGGTAGGAGTCTGTGTTCCTAAATTTTCAAGGGATGGAAGAAGCACGGTCTTTGGCTGAGTGAGGGGGTGGAGGTGTTGGGAATTAGAAGGGAATGGCGTGAAAAGGTATCTAGAAGAGAGCAAGTGCACTAGGGAAGAATAGTGTGAGTCCAGGCAGCATTAGGGTGCAGGTGAGGTCTGTGTGCCCAGTTCAGATATCACCCCCTCCCGAAAGTCTTCTCACCCCCAGACTAGGTCACTCCCCTTGCTGCCTCAGGGCCCCTGTGGTGCTTCTCTCTCGCAACTCTGATCACAACTGGAATGAAATATCAACTGTATTCTTTAATTCTTTAATCCCTGTAACCCTCCCTAGACTGTAAACCCCATGAAGACATGAGCAGAGGCTGTCCCCTCCGTCGCGGTATCTTGGCATCTAGCTCCTCCCACACAGTAGTCTCTCAATACATAATATTTAAATAGTTGAATAAATGAATGAAGTAATGGATGAGAAAAGTCCTGGAAGCTGCATGTGTGCTTTTAGTCGGCCTAGATTTCTGAAGCAACTCCTTCCGCATCCCTGTGAGATTCTGGACCTCCTCTCTTCGCAGTTTTTACCCCCACCCCAATCCCTTCCCCGCTCCCCCTCCCCCTCCCCCTCCCCCTCCCCCAGCGCTCCGTTTTGCGGGCGCTTCTGCTTTAAGGGCCCCGCAGAAGTCGAGCCGGGCGCTGATTGGTGGTTTATTCTAACGGATAGAGGATGAGCTCATCTGCAACCAATGACCGAGCTGCATCCGGCCAGACCCCTGCACCTGGGTGGAGGGCTGAAAGCAGCCGCCCACGGTGCAAGGTCCCCCGCGGGGGCGAAGGGGCAGTGGCGGCCGGGCTGGGTCTGGCCACGCGGACCGAGCTCCTGGCTCGGGCAGGTACGGTGTTTGCCCGGCTCCTCCTCCATCCCCCTCCCCTAGGAGAGGATGCCCCCTCTTCTCACTCCCCCAGCCCGCCTTCCTCGGCGACCCCCGAGGGGCGGTGCACCTTGCGTACCGGGGACTCGCGGGTTGGACGCGACGCTTTCTGGGTCCAGGCGCGGCTATGCGGTTCTGCCCGGAGGGACCCGGCCCAGCGGGTGGTCCCGGAAACCGGGCCCTGACACAGAGCAGCCCGCCCTGTCGGCCTTGGTGCCTCTGAGCACGGGACTCAGCGCGGCATGTCCCTGGTGACTAGGCCGAGTGGAGAGGGTGCGGCTTCCCTTCCCCCCTCCCTCCACCTCCTGGCCGCATCCTGGCCAGGGTTCAGCTCCCCGCTGGCTTCACGATGTGGGTTTTCCTCCCCGCCCCACTCCCCATCCTGTTCTCTCCTCCCTCTCTCCACAGAGGCAGAAATGACCTGGAGTTGGCAATTTGGGCCCTGCTCCTTCCCAGTGGGGCCTGAGGGAGCGAAGGTGCAGAGGCTGCAGTGAGGGGCAAAGGCAGCTCTGCTGGCCTCTCTCTGAGCCCTTTCCTTTCCTGAAGACACTGCGCTTATCCCTTTGGCCACTTGTATCGCACACTGCTCAGGGAGGAGCTGCTGTTCGGTCCTTGGAGGCCACGTGGCCTCCTGACCTTCTCAGAGACAGAGCCAGGAGGCCAGAGGCATCCCCTCCCTAGGGCTGCTTGGGCTCTGACCTCATTCCTCTAACTCCACCCAGAGTGGCACTGAATCTGCCACTCAGTCATCTCATTTGCCCACAGACTTTAAGGCCAAGCCCTGTGCCCGGCTCTCTGCCTGGCTTCTTGGGGGTCCTCACTCCCTGGCCACACTGACCTCAGGACCTAGGGAAATGAACTAAAGTAGGGGCAATCCATTCTGTTCGAGGAGGTACCATGGAGCCGAACCTTGAAGGATAAATGAGATTCCCATGGGAGGACCAGGACGGGGAGAACAGGCAGGATGGAGGGAACAGTATAAGGAATGGCCTTTGGGCCCCGCGCCCTGGCTTCAGCCTCAGAGTGTGTGACCTCCATGTTTAATGTGTATAGAGGCCCTTTGCAGGCATATCCTCAGCTCTCTCCAGTGCTCAACACATAGTAAGTGCTCAAGAAATACTTGATGAACTGAAATTGAATTGAAAACAAAAAACCCAGAGCCCAAAGCATGTTATTATTCTGTTATTACCACCACTTAGGAAAGGTCTGGCTCAGTGAGGGATGTTACCCACATTAGCTCTGATCCCTCCAGCCCTTGGACCTGAGCATTAGTCTTCCCAATACTCAGTGGAGGAAACCAGGGTGCAGATGGGGTTTTACTCCCAGCAGGATTCTCCCTAATGCCTCTGCTCATTCCAGGTCCCTGCTCCAGGGCAGCCATGAGCCTGGTGGCCCGTGAGTGTCCCCCTGGCCCTGGCCTGGACCCCGAGCCCTGCTCATGAGTGCGGTCCCAGGCCCTAGTGTACCGGGAGCAGATTTGCAAGCGGGTCACTCCAGGGGCATCTGACATGACCAAGCGCGACTACCTTGTGGATGCAGCCACACAGATCCGGCTGGCCCTGGAGCGTGATGTCAGTGAGGAGTATGAGGCAGCCTTCAGCCACTACCAGAATGGTGTGGACGTTCTGCTCCGAGGCGTAAACGGTGAGGCTGGGGCTGGGCATGGACGGAGGCCGGTGGTGAAGGGCTCATCCCGCCATCTGTCCATCTGAGCTGGGCGAGCAGGGCTCTCTGTGTGGGCCCTGCAGGGCCTCTGCAAAGGACAGTAATAACAGTTCTCATTTATCGAACGGTTCCTATACACCAGGCGCTGGTCTAAGGGCTTTACTTGTATCAACTCATTTCCCATTCACAGTAATACAAACCACTGTATATGTTCTTGCATGTACTTCCAAATATGTAAGAATGATTTTTATTCCTGTTTTCCAGATGAGGAAACTGAGGCACAGGGCAGTTAACTAGCTTGCTTGAGACCCCACAGCTGTCAAGTGGCAAAGCTGGGGTTTGAACAGTGTGGGCTCCAGAGGCTGTGCGCTTAGCTCACTCAGCTTGCCCGCCCCTGGAGCTGGGCTGGGGTCCTGCCCTCGGGAGGCTTGCATTCTAATGGGGGGAGATTGATGAGTTGATGATGGACTATTATAGTCCCAGGTGGCAAGAACAATGAGGAGGAACTGAAGGGAGGGAAGAGGGAAACTGAGGCCAGATTAGGCTGGCATAGGGCGTTTTCTAGAAGTCAGAACCCTAATCTGAGTACTGAAGAATGGTGGGCATGTTGTCCAGCTGAAGGGCTCGGTGGGGCTCCAGAGGGAGAACCGCACAGGCCTGGAGGTGAGAGGGGAGGCCTGTTCAGGGAAAAGGAAGGCATTTCCAAGTAGGGGGAGAGGCTGGCCCTGAGGCCACTTGGAGACCCCTGAGGGCCTTGGTGGCCAGGCTGGGGGTAGGAGTCAGGCCCCAATTCACGCTTCCTACCCTCCCTCCGATGAGACTTCTCAACACCTGGGCTTCGTGCCTGTCCAGTGACTTCCTTTACCCTCCATCCTGATCCCCATTCTGGCCTCTTTCACACTGGGCATCAGAGATAGATAGAACGTGTGCTCTCTGGGGACTTCTGTCTCCTACTCTGTAAAACGGACATGGAAATCCACACTGTGTCCCTTCCCAGGGTGTGATGGTGGCCAGCGAGGTAGTAGGTGCCAACTGTAAAGTGCTGTAGGCTGAGTGGCGACTGTGGTTCCCAACCTCTCCTGCCACCATCCCTCCTCCTCCTCCCCTGCTGGTCTCCCATCCAGAGGAGGACCCAAGGACAGAGGTGGGGTCAGAATCCACTGAGCAGCATCAGAAATAGGCACTACCTCCTCTGGAGGGCAGAGGGCGGGCAGTGGGAGCCCAAACCCCAGCGCCCTCCCAAGGACAGGACCCCTCCTCCCCACAGTCGACCCCAACAAGGAGAGATGTGAGGCTGTAAAGCTGAAAATTACCAAGTACCTGCGGCGGGCGGAGGAGATCTTTAATTGCCACCTGCAGAGGACGCTGGGCAGTGGAGCCAGCCCTGGCACGGTAAGGAGACCCCAAAGGCCTGAGGGCTCTGAGGGGAGAGAGCTGAGGCCCTCACCCCACAGGCCAAGGAGCTGTCGCCCGCCATCGGGGCGGCAGGCAGACGGTGGAGAGCACAGTTCGGCTGGTGTGTGTGCCAGGGCTGCCCTCCTCCCTGCTCCTGGCTTCCTCTCTATCCCACACTCTCCATAATTCATTCATTTGCAAACGCTTAGTGAATCATCTCCAGTCCAGTCTTACACCCCCACAGAGTACACACACACACACACACACCTCCCTACCCTCACGCATGGCCCGTACACGTGCTCACCTGTGCGCACACTCAGGCTCCCAGATCTCTCTGTGTTTGGCTGGGCTGCAGTGAGTATTCGGAGCAGACACAAATACCCACGTGCGTATACACACACTTGAATATGTGCATATATAAATGTGCAGAAGTCCTCTCCCCATACGGCTTTTCTTGACCCAGTGGGCACTCAGACAGGGTTGAAGATGCACGCACACTTCTCAAGCCCACAGGTGTGCACGTACACACCCCTTCTAGGCTTGCTGCACCTTGTAAGCTGCTTCCCCCAGAGCAGGTGCCTGGGCCACATGCCTTGGTTTTCGAGGCGTGTTCCCCGAGATGCACATGTTCCCAGGTTACTTCCCCCCTCCCTGGGCGTATCTGCCTCCTGTGGATGAGGCTTCTGAGAGGGGGTTTCTGAAGCCCTGAGAACTCCCTGTGTCTGGGAGGAGGGCTAGGTGGGGGGACCGAGCTGAGAGGGTGGCCTGGCCACCCTGGACCAAGGCCAGCTTCTCTGCTCAGTCTGTCCCTGTGAGGTGGGCCCTGCCTGTACCCTGGTCCTGCCCTCTGTGGCCACTGCTCTCCTGGCAGCCGGGGCCCTGCCCACTGCCTGCTGAGAAGGCCGTGGCTGAGTAGGACTCACCCTGAGGCCGCTACGTGGCTCTCTCCTGCCTCTGCAGGGTTTCAGCAGCCTGAGGCTGCGGCCCATCCGCACACTGAGCTCTGCCCTAGAGCAGCTGAGGGGCTGCAAGGTGGTTGCCGTCCTCGAGAAGGTGAGTGAGCACCGCCCGAGGTGTGGGAGGAGGTGTTGCGTATAATTGGGAGGGGCAGGTGTTGGAAAGGGGTCAGAGGGTCCAAGGGGAGGAGATGGCTGTGGCGGTCCCGCACCCTTCCTCCACCCCAGCCCACACCAGTCAGCTCTGGAAAGGAAAATGTGAGGAAAAAGCAGAGGCGCGCAGCTCCTCTCCACAGCCCGCCAGCTCAGACGCAGAAAGCCACTCCCTCCGGGACCCCCAGCCAGCCCGCGCTGCCCTGCCTGCCTGCCCCAATTCCACTTCGCCAGGGCTGCAGCCAGGAGTCTCCCCACCTAGCACAGCCCAGAGGTTCCTGTGGTGGGAGTGCGCTTATCTCCAGAAACCCGTTCTGCAGATGGTCGAAGTGGGCTGGTGCCTTGTCCAGGGCCTTGGCAGCTCTGCCCTTTCTCTCCTGGCTCCTCCGGCCACCCCCCCATCCTGACCCCATCTGGGATCTTTTCCCTTAATTCAGGGCAGACAGGAAGATAGGAGCTGACAGCCAAACCTGAACCTGGGACACTCTTCAGAAGGACAGACAAGTTGGGTCAAATGAGATTTGAGCCAATATTGGATCGCTCTCCGCCCCAGCCCAGGGATACCTGAATATTTGCTAAAGCGTTTTTTTTCTCAAACTGGCTGTTTATCAGAATCCCCTCGGGGAGCTTCCTAAAAATACAGATGCCCGGGCCCCATCCCAAACCCACTGAGTCAGAATTTCTAGGGTTGAGCCCAGGCACCTGTAATTTAAAACACTCATGGGGGATTTGGACGGGTCTGGGAGCCCGCAGAGAAAAGGGGACCGGTGTGTGCTCCCCGACATGCCGAGGGTGAAGTGCTGGCCGGGCTGGCACCGCGTGGCCACAGACGAGCTCCTTTCCCTGTCTGGGCGCTGGTTTCCTCATCTGGAAGTGGAGGTAAGGATCCTCCCACCCACCCCCGCCCCACCCAGCGTGATGTGGGAACTAAAGTGAAATGATTCGGGGGAAAGGCCTAGCACACGCTAAAGCATTTGATACAAGTTTGGTGGCCGTGAAGGCGAATGACGAGAGTGTGTGGCGAGCAGACTTCCCATCCCAGCCTTGCTCCAGCTGCTGCTCCCAGGTCCCTGGAACAGGCCCCAGTCTGTCAGCCAAGGCCCAGCAGCTTCCATCTGCCCAGCCCTTCCCTCCCATTGCGCGAGTCCACGTGGCTTGGCCGCTTCCCCGGGCAGGCGGAGGAGGTGACAGCCACCACTGTTTCCCCGTGTGGGATCCCACCGAACCAGTGGTGTTTTGGAGAGAGGGGTTCTGGGTCAAATAAGTTTTGGAAACAGTGAGTTAAAGTTACATTACTTCAGTTTTTTAAGTATAGGAAGTTTCAAGCTTTTAGGATGCAGATGTACACAGTGAATCTCCAAGAGGGAGGTCTGTGACAGTATTCCCCGAATTTGAATTTAACCCCGGACACACATGTGCAAAGCATTTTTGGAATCCCATATACTGAGGCCTGTGCATATGGGCATTAGAAATTCAGGCCAAGCCCAGCCATTCTGTCTTGAGAGTGCCCTCTTTTCTTTCTTTTTATATACTTTCTTGGGCACTCAATTTACTTACTCCACCTCCCTCCTAAAATCCTGCTTCCGTTTTCTGAGTCATTCCCAAGCCAGGAATACCAATCTCCTCAAATTAGGAGAGGTGTTGGGGCCACTGGGCCCAGGTCCCTGCAGCCAGGCCTGGATGAGTATCACCACATTCCATACCACAGCTCTGCCCAGGCAGATCTGGGCAGGCAGGTGGGAGGGCAGTACCAGCCTGCAGCAGCTCGCAGACTCAGGGGGAGCAGAGGGCCTGGCTCAGGAAGCCTTGAGTGCCCCCAGAAACACCCCATTGTGAGGGTTAAAGGGGCTGGGGAGCGGGGGGTCCCTTGGGACCGAAGAGATACTGGCAGGGGTAGGGGGTGGCAGGGAAGAGCAAGGAGGGTGGATCAAGGACTAGGCAGGCAGCAGGCCAGGAGAGCCAGGGTCTGCTCTTGGGGAGCCTGGGGGGCTTGGGACACAATGCTGCCTATTTGCTGAGCTTTGTCCTGGAGCCAGGCCCTGAGTCAGGGAGGGGAAGAAAGAGAAGACCAGCCAAGTCACTTCCGTGTTTTTGGCTCAAACACAGGGGTGTTTTTTGAATTATTGTTAGTTATCAGCATTTAAAAATTGGCAGGTTTCGTAGAGAAGTCCAGATTTCCTACTTATCCTGAGAAATCAGAAGCTCTGGAAATGCTGCCTCACATTCATGTCAGCCGGAGCAGAGGACGGGCTGCCCGATTTAATGGGGCACCTGCCCTCCGTCGGCCCCTTTCTCATCCTGCCCATTGGCTCACATGCCCAGCCCCTGTGGACCTTAGTGCTTGAGAACCTGCTTGAAACTTCTGGATTTGTTTGCTCCAGGAGGAGTCCTCCTGGCCTTGGTACTGTGGACATTTTAAAAGAAAGTGTTAATGTGTTTCACCAAAGCTTTCATTGTCCCTGAATCCCGAGAACTCAGTGGGTTTCATTTTTAAAAAAGAGATTTCCCTTTTTATTTTTTATTATTTATTTATGGCTGCATTTGGTCTTTGTTGCTGTGCACGGGCTTCTCATTGCGGTGGCTTCTCGTGTTGCTGAGCACAGGCTCTAGGTGCGCGGGCTTCAGTAGCTGTGGCTTGAAGGCTCTAGAGCTCAGGCTCAGTAGTTGTGGCTCACAGGCTTAGTTGCTCCGCGGCATGTGGGATCTTCCCGGACCAGGGCTCAAACCCGTGTCCGTTGCGTTGGCAGGCGGATTCTTAACCACTGCGCCACCAGGGAAGCCCGAGATTTCCCATTTTAAAAAGATGAAGGCAGGCACCCTTCACCAGAACTGCCTTCCACCTTCCCGATAGCAATACTCACCTGACATTCGTAAGGCCCATTCTAGTTTGCCAAGCTGTCGCATTAAACCCTCTCGGTCACCCTGGGGAGGAAAAGGGTTATAAACCTGTGCAGTCCGCTACAGTAGTCCCCAGCCACATAAGACTATTTTAATTCATTAAAATTAATCAAAATTAAATATTCTATTTCTCAGTGGCACCAGCCACCTTTCAAGGGCTTGATAGCCACATGTGGCTAATGGCTTCTAATGGACAGTGCAGATATATAATATTTCCATCATGGCAGAAAGTCCTACTGGACAGTGCTGCATTTTTTTAAAGGTATTTATGTATTTATTTATTTTGGCTGTGCCAGGTCTTAGTTGCGGCATGTGGACTTCTTAGTTGTGGCATGTGCGACCTTGTAGTTGTGGCATGCATGCGGGATCTAGTTCCCCAGCCAGGGATCGAACCCAGGCCCCCTGCATTGGGAGTGCCGAGTCTTTCTTACTCACTGGACCACCAGGGAAGTCCCTGGACAGTGCTGCATTTTAATCATTGTCTTACAGAGAATGTAACTGAGGTTCATAGAGGTCAAGGGACAAACTAGTGCTCTATAGCACAGAGCAAAAGAGGAAGGGGATTTTTTTTATTTGCTTGGTTTAATGGGAAAATGCCCCCTTTTGAAATACCATGAAAGAGAAAGGAGTTTAGAACAGAAAAGAAAAAAAAAATTCCCCACCATCCTATCTAATTCCAAGATAATCACTGTTAATGGTTTGGTCTAATTCTTTCTTGATAGATGTGTGTGTATATATACATTTTTTCTTCTCTTTTTTAACACACTTGTTTCAATGTACTGATCAAGTTTTATTTCTGGCCTCCACGACCTTCACTGCTGTTTTTTTGTAAACGAGAAGACTTGCCCAAGACAAGACAAGGTGGAGGGGAATCCCACTTGGCAAGTGGCAGTAGGGAATTATCCGGGGTGTCAGCACTTGTGGGAAACTGTATTATCCTAAATGACCCCAGAGTTCTCTTTCTTTCTTTTTCAAGCTTTGCGTAAATTTGGCCAAAGAGTGGGGACTAGGCTGGACTCCATCTCTGGCTGTTGGAGGAGAGACCTCTAGTGGTCAGAAGGGATGCCTCACGCCTGCTGCCCCTGTGCTCAGAGTCCACCACCTTCATCTCACTGACGATGGGGAAACTGAGGCCCAGAGGGGAAGGCATGCACCAGGTCACCTGGTTGTGCCCCTATTTGCAGTTATGTCTCCAGGGCTCCGGGATCAGCCTGTCTGGAGTCACATCTTGGCTCTACTACTTTTTAGCAGGGGGACCGTAGGCAACGTAACCTCTCTGAACCTCAATTTCTTCATCAGTAAAATGAGTCACTAGTAATGCTCACCTGGTAGGGCTGGCGAATGAAACTAAATGACCTCGATAAAGCCCTTAGCGCAGAGTAAATGCTGATTAGGCAGTGTGGGGTTTCCCTGTGATGATATTAATAATCGTCACTATAGACTATCGAGAGCATGTTATGTGGCAGGCACAGGCTGCTGCTGTACTTGAGTTGCTCGCGTTAATAGAATCCTCCTAATGGCCTTCTGAAGGAGGTACTGCTATGACCCATTTTGCAGTGAAGAAGGCCAAGGTTCACAGAGGCCATGTGACTTGGCAAATGTAACTGACATTCCCACCGCCTTTACATTCTCCAAGGGCCTTCCCATTGGTGGCCTCAACAAACCAGTGATAAGGGAGGGTGGGCATTTGTAATTCCTGTTTGGTAGATGAGAAAATCAATTCACTCACCCAAGATCTGAACCCCAATCCTAGGCTGCAGCCTTCGTCACTGTCCAGTGGCCTGGCCTCAGGGCCTGGTTCCCATGTGCCACTACGGGGAACGTGTGCAGGGCAGGCTGACGGCTAAGAAGTCACAACACCAGGGTGCTGGCCTTGCCCCCCACATGCCCCTCATCTGGGCCGAATCTTCCGCTTTCCTCCCCTGACGTGTCCTCTCCTATGGCTGGGGTCCACCCCTGCCCACCATGGAGATGAGTCTAGGGCCCAACTCCAAACAAGGCTCTGCCCAGCAATTGGCAGGCCACTGCCTCCAAGCAAAACCAACAGGAGAAGGAATGGACTGCCCTCCAAAGATAGCCTCCAGAAAGAAAGACCATTTAAGAGAAGGGGCTAGGGGCAGGGGACGAGACCTGAAGGAGCACGGCAAGACCACAAGGTCTCGGGCACCACTGGGGCCACATTCTCAGAGCCTTGGCTTCTTCACCTGTAACATAAGAGATCAGAGAAGGTGACTGGCTCTGAGGTCCCTTCCAGCCATGACACCCTCGGACCGTACAGGATGGACCACTCAGCATGCATGCGGGAAGCACCGACTACCTCCCTGTCCTATGCAGGTCTCTGGGAGTACAGAGCTGGCCATGTGGTCCCTGCCCTCTCGGAGCTCACAGCCCAGCGGGGAGACAGGAAATTAGGCACAGTGTGATAGGGTGAGCCCAGAGAGCACTGGAGACAGAGTAGGAGCCCCAGCCTAACGTGAGGGTTGGGAAGGCTTCCTGGAGGAGGTGGTACCTGAGCTAAGACCTGCAGATCTAACAAGGGTGGATGAGCAGGACAGGTTCGATGTCAGTTTGGCGGTGGGGGGTACACTCTGCACTACCAAAGCCTGGCCTCCCAGCCCAGCCTTGGTGGAGGACCCTGGGAGGCTGGGGCTGGGGCCATGGAGTCCCAGGAACTAGCATGTGACTTGACTAGTGCCACCTGGACCTCGGCAGGTGCAGCTGGTCCAGGACCCAGCGACTGGAGGGACCTTCGTGGTGAAGGCAGGTGCCGCCCAACCCCCTGCCGTTCTGCATTCCCCTTTGGACTTTCTCAGAGCTCTTGGAAACCCCTACCCCCTGGGGAACCTCTACCCAGAAGCCGTATGGGAAACCCACACTCCCTCCAATTCAACAGCTGTTTGTTCTGCCCCCAGCATGCACCCCGCCTCCCAGAAATGTGCACGTGTGCACACGCACACACACATTGCCTCATCCTTGGACCAGAGATGGGAGGGCCTGCCTTCCAGGGTGTAAAGAGGGTTGAGGGTCAGGTTAGGAACTGGGGGCAGGCAGCTGCTCTCCAGGGTGGCTCCCACCCTTCGTCTGGTTGCCCCTGAAGAGCAGAGCAGCCTCTGGCCAGTCCCCAGCTGATCTGCCTGCTCTGCTCCCTCCCCAGAGCCTGTCCAGGTGCCACGCGGTGAGCCGGGAGCGGCTGACCATCATCCCACACGGCGTCCCCTACATGACCAAGCTGCTGCGGTATTTTGTGAGCGAGGACTCCATCTTCCTGCACCTGGAGCATGTGCAAGGTGAGGGGGCCCTGTCAGCTCCTCAGGCCTTTGGGATGTCGTCCTGTCTCATCCTCTTAAACTGCCGAGCCCAGATGCCCAGCACAGACCAGGGGACCCAGCCTTCCTGGAGGATGATGGCTGCTGGGGGCTTCTGTGTGGTGCCAGGGGGGCAGGGGACGTCCTGGGAGGATGTTCACATCTTGGGCGGGTGAGAGGGCATTTATGCAGATGTCCCCTTTGTCACCCTCTCCTCCAGTCTTGGCTCTTTTCACTTTCCTAGTCTGTGCCCACCCCTCAGAGTGGCCCCGTGGGGTGATGGTGCTGAAGCTGTAAGGACAGGAACTGGGTCACGTAGCAGATATTTATTGATCAGCTATGACTTTTTTTTAAATGAGGTACACCTCTCTGGGTCATGATATACAGTCGTCGCAGGTCCGTGCCTGGCCTTGTTTTTATTTTACTTACTTAAGCTTCATTACACTTTTCTCCCTTAAAAAAAATTATAATACATTGAACACTGGCGAACCCACCACCTAGACCAAGGACATTAAGAATAATTTACATCTCCTTAGGGGTTAAGCACCTATTTTGTGCCAGGTTGTGAGGCTGGGGCCACTTTAGGTGGGTGGAGAGGAGGGGAGAGGGCATCCTAGGCTGAGGGAGGGGAGGGAGCAGAGGTGAGGACCTGGAAGGCAAAGGGTCCGTGCCCAAGACGGGGGGTGGGGGGTGGCGGGAGTGGGAGAGGGACCTGGGCCCCACGCTCTTTTACTCCTGTCCCCATGCTTGCTGCACCCTCTGCACGGCCCAGGAGGCACTCTGTGGTCCCACCTGCTCTCCCAGCCGTGCCTCCAACAGTCTGGGACTAGGTCTGGCTCCAGCCTGGAGAGGATGAAGGCTCAGCTCGACTCCCGACTCAGCCTCCAGACCCCAGCTCGCTTCCCACCTGGCCACACCTGCCTGCAGGACGGAATCCCCCTGGAGCCTCCCCGGACTTCTCAGAGCCTTACCCCGGCCGGGGGGGCTGCAGCCATCAGACCCCAGAGAGAGGCTGAAGGTGAACTCTCAGCCGGGACCGGCCCTTCCTGCTCCTGGGACCTTCCAAAGGCCCCAGGTGGCCACCTGCACCACCAAGCCAGGCGGGGGCCTGGCCAGAGCTCTGATCCGGGGCCCCCTTGCGGGCTCCCTTGGGTTCGTGCAGGGGCCGGCCGGGTGCTGGGGGGCTGTGGCCGAGGCAGAGGTCGGAGCCGCCCCTCAACCGGTGGAGCCGCCTGGAGTGTGAGGGAGGAGCAGGTGAGGCAGTGGGCAGCCGAGATGCTGGTGGCCCTGGAGGCGCTGCACGAGCAGGGGGTGCTGTGCCGGGACCTCAATCCCCGGAACCTGCTCCTGGACCAGGCAGGTAGGAGCCCTGGGCCCAGGGGGAGAAGAGTGGGCCCTCACCCTACCCCACCCCTCCTGCGGGAGGCCCCCGAAGCCTCAAGACAGAGAAGGAAATTTCCCCAAAGTCAAGCGGATGCAGAGGTTATCTGCTTCTTCCCTTGCCTCCCCTCCCCGGCCTTTTCAGGAAGGACTCTGCTGAGCCTGGTTGGTCAGGGTTGAGCTTGGGAAACAAACCCTTTCCCTCGATGAGCTCAGGGCAAGGCTCCTGTGAAGACCAGGTTGTTTCGGGGCCTCGGCGTTGCGGGGGGGCGGGCCCTTAGGGAGCTTCTGCCCAGCGCAGCCGCTGGCCCCTGCCTTGTGGCTGTTGGGAGAAGCGCTGGAGTCCCCTGCGTCACGCCTGCAGCTCCAAGATGACTAATAGCAATTTTTGTCCCCTTTTATTCCTCCCTGCATGCACTGCATGACAAGGCCACATCCGGCTCACGTATTTCGGCCAGTGGTCAGAGGTGGAGCCCCAGTGCTGCAGGGAGGCTTTGGACAAACTCTACAGCGCCCCAGGCAAGAAGGGAAGGGGTAGGGGGTAGCCCTTGGGTGTCTTTATGTGGGTTGAGCCAGGGGACTGAGGATGATGGAGGGACCTGGGGCACCTGGGTAGGGTGAGTGGAGGGGAGACACGCCTCTTTGGGCAGGCGAGACTGAGACACGTATGTTCTTGTTCCCACAGAGGTGGGTGGAATTTCTGAGCTGACCGAAGCCTGCGACTGGTGGAGCTTTGGGTCTCTGCTGTATGAACTGCTGACGGGAACGGTGAGCGGTGTGTGGGCAGGGTGTAGGGCCTCGTGGGTGTCACTGAATGTAGGAGGGGCTGGGGTTAGTCCAGCCAGTCGGTGTTGGGGCAGAGCCTGTCTGGTTCCCGGAGACCTGGCCGTTGGGCCCAGTGTTCTGCCAGCACAGCTCCCGCCTCCACCGCCAAGACCATGAGAGACCGTGGAAGCCACTCCCACCCAGGCCATGGCCACACTTCGCACCGCTGCCAGATGAGTGGCTATAGCTAGGGAGACTGTCAACTCAGTGAGAGTGGAGTCGGGATGATCAGGGAAGGTTTCTGGAAGAGAGCGTCCGGGCCTGGATCTGGAGGGAGGGTGGAGTTTGACACAGCCCTTTTACTTAGAAGGCCACCGGATCATCCCCCAAGCCTCCTCTCCCTGCTGCTCACTCCCCACATCCACACCCTTCAGAGCTATAACCCCCAGACTTTGGCTGGACGACCAGAGAGAGGGCCTCCTTCATCCCAGGCTGGCAGCTGCCCTGTCCGGCCTGGGTCAACCCAGAGCTTAAAGTTCCCCTGGCAAGTACCCTTGCTCAGGATGATGACCTCCGCCCTCCATCCTCCCTCGTGAGCTCAACGCCACACCTGGGGCTGGTTAGGTCGGGCAGCAGGGAGAGGCCAAACTGCATTTGAGAAGGAAATGCCCCAAGTGGATGCAGTGTGACCGGAAGTCCAGATCTGACTGGTCCCTCCTGGCTCCCTCCTGGTTTGGTCCTGTAGCCAGGGCCTTTGAGAGCCCTGGTTGCACACAGCCCCACAGAGTGGCTCTCTCCTCTTGGCCTCCCACCACGTCTCCAGATCAGGGCTTCTGGCCTTCCTCCTGGTCGCTTCTTGCCTCTCTTCCTGACCTCCAGACAGACCTCTCTGCTCCCTGCAGCTGCACCCTTCTGGAGCACAGAGAGGTCCTACCTTCTTCCCTCGCCACAGCCCTGCCTTGGCCCTGGCAGTAGGACGCCATGTCAAATGAGTCGCCCATGGAAATTTTTTTTCTGTAAGGAGACAAGTTTCAGTGCTATTCCTGATAGAGTGCCTGCCCTGACTGCAACCCAAGACCGATGTTTCTAGCAAGCTTGGAGCCAGAGGGACCTGGGTTCAAACCCTGAACTCAGCACAAATCCCTTGGCCTCTCTGAGCCTGCTTCTTGTCTTTAAAATGGGGGTAATAATACTTACTCTGAAGGTTGTTGTGGAAATTACGGATAATGGGTCTCAGGCATCTTCCGCAGCCTGACATGCAGTAGATCCAAAGCAAGATGCAACAAGCAGCAGCATCATCATCCCCATGAGATGTGACACAGGGGGAACAAGATAAAACCTGGCCGCCATTGGAGTGTACAGACCCTCCTGGGGTCGCCCCCGTGTGTCTTCCCAGGCGCTGTCCCAGAGCCACCCCTCAGGAATCCAACCCCACACCCAGCTCCAGCTGCCCGAGTGGCTCAGTCGCCCTGCAGCCTCCCTGCTGACTGAGGTGAGGTGTGGCCGGCCCGGAGCAGGCAGCTTCTTTGGCCTAGGGTGGACAGAAGGGAGGACAGAGCCCTGTGTGTGAACAAGCTGCCCAGCCTATTAGGTGTCTGATGTGGGTGCAGGAGGTTAATGGGGACAACAAATTTCTGTATGTTGGTGGCCAAACACCAATGTCTCCCAGGGTAACACTGGGGGTTCTGTGGGCCGGGCTGGCTGGGAGCAACGGGGCTGGGAAGGCCTGCCCAGTGCTGACTGGGCCTTTCTCCACAGCTGCTGAAGTTTGAGCCCGCCGGGCGCCTGGGCGCTGGAGGAGGCGGTGTCAACAAACTCAAGTCCCACCCCTTTTTCAGCACCATCCAGTGGAGCAAACTGGTGGGGTAACCGGAGGGGGTGGAGTAGGCAGTGGAAGCAGCTGGACTGGTCTGGATCTCCTCTCTTCTCTTTGCCTGCCACCCAGAGCTGGCCATTCTAATCAGCGGCCCTCGGGCAAAGAATGAAAGGCAGCTTGCCTTTCCTGGTCGGGCCCCTCCCTTGGGCCTCAGAAGTCTCTTCACTGACCAGGAAGGGCCTACGGAGTCCCCCAGCCACGTCCTGGAGAAACCCTTCCTAGATGGTGCTGAGCGGGAGGGAGAGAGAGATCTCAGCCTGTTAGGCAGCTTGAACCCCTCCACCCATCAGTCAACAGTCACCTGCTGAGTGCACACCCTGGACTTGAACTTGGACCTACCATGTTAAAAGGTGCCTTCCTTTGCATTAGCTCTGAGCTACTGACCACCTGCTGAGCCGTGAAATTTTGTGACTCATTATCTGCCATGTGCCCCACTCGGGATGTCTCTGGAGACTCACCTCAGGATACTAGTCCACCGGCTTAGTGGTCCCAAACCAGGGCTGCCCTGGCTGGTCATCTTAACCATGCAACTAGTGGGCCTCTTCCACCAGAGGCTACTTTTGCAGGGGGTCGGGAGGCTGGGGAAGCAGGGAAGAAGTCTGTAGTGGGCATGGGGTGGGGTGAGGGAATGGGACAGGACAACTCATTCCCCCCTCCTGACCATGCCCCTTATCTTGTGATTACAGACTTTGGAGAGCAAAAGGAAAGGAGGGGAGGAAAATAAGGATAAAGAGGAATGGGGGGAGAGAGGAAGGCACAGCTCTGCCACTTAGAGAAATTTTGGAAACAAAGAGCTCCCTTCCCCGGCTAGCCCACCCATGTGGAGAGAAAGGAAAACCTGCCCCACGGGTCTGAGGGGAGACCGCCATTCAGTCTCCAGGCTGAAGCCACTTGAAGAAAAGTTGTACCCACTAGGACTCCCTTCTCGGACGTTCGTCCTGTTTACCATTTTGCATTTTAGTCTTGAGGGTCCACTCAATCCACTGCCCACTGTGACTTCATATCCTTTTGAAATGAAACCACAAAACACATGGAATGATTGCCCAAGCTTTTAGCCAGAAGCAAAATGTTTCTGGTCTCGGAAGAACTGGGGTAAGTAGTTATCCCCAAAGACAACTCCCTCCCCAGATTCGGGGGCCTTCTTCCTCTCAGGACTCACCCTGTCACTGGGGTGTGGCATCTAAGACAAACTTCCACAGATCTCCACCAACTCCTCCCCGCCTGCGTCTCCGGCACCACCAGGTGGCGCCTCTGACACCACCCTCCAGTCTGGCTGTGAAGGCCCAGCTCTAAATCTGGGGCTGGGGACCTGTTATGGGCATGGCGCGAAGCTCCTCAGGCCCTCTGGACGCGTCTGGGGGACGTGAGAGGTGCAGCCTTTGGAAGGTCCTGGCTCTCCCTGGGGCTTGCCCACGGCCCTCCACCCCGACTCCAATAAAGCCTGCTGTTGCCTCTGGTGTCCTTGCCTCATTAACGCAATGAGAGGGGATGGGGAGATGGGAGGGTTCCTCCAGAGCAAGCTCCACGATAACCAAGAGTGTGCTTGGATCCTGCTAGGAAGGAGGAGGCAGGGCTGGTAGTGAACAGCACACCAGCCTGTACCCAGCAGAGCAGTCGTGAGCCCCCCAGAAAGTGGCAGCACTGGGCTCCGTGGGAAGTAAAACAGGAAAAGACATCTTTGAAGAGGGTCATGGTGCCTGGGGGTGGTGCAGGGGAGTGGACCTAACCCTCACGGTGACCTCTTCAACAGATGGTGGCTCCTGAGAAAACTGGAATTCAAAGAGGGAATGACAGGACCCGGCCAGAGCCTGGTGGAACCCACTCCAAGTCTGTTCCTTCCGCTACACTCCCTCAGTCAGGTCAGAGCACCTCCAACTACTGTACAAAGTGCAAGTTGCTTCTGGAACTTCTGGGCCTCATTCATGCAATGAACACTGCACATCCGGCACTTTGCTAGGCCCTGAGTTTAGAATACTGTGGTCCCAGCCCTTAAGGGGCATACAGTCTATTTCCATTTGATAAAAATGGGGCTAAATGTACCTCCTTTGTAGGTTTACTAAAGAAATTAAAGCTTCTAGCTCCATGCCCCAAACCTGACCTAAAATTCTTCCTTTCACTGAACCCAAGCTTTTTCTACTAGCTCTAGTTCTACCCTCTAGGAGCCACTCTGTTCCCGTGACAGACCTTCACGTGAAGATGGTATCACCGCAAGCGAGATCAGCAGGCAGGGACTGCGTGTGGAAAAGCCAGGCTGAGTTTAAGCCTGGACACCATCAAGCCTATCACACGTAGTCAGCGCAGATTATCTCTCAACCCCGTCCACTCGCCGTCACACACCACTTGCTCCTAGGAGGTGATCTACCCTCATTTGTTCAAATCAACCTTGAGCATCTGGGTACCCACGTGGCAATCAAGTGCAAAATGCGAAACTATGTTGCTCCACCACTCCCCCATCCATCCCAGAAATAACGCGAGGCAACGCCACCAAAATCTAAATGTCTGTTGGTGTCTGAAGGGGCTTCACGCAGGTGAGAACCAGTTTCTCTTCAACAGTGTGGCTTGCCGGGCTCACCAGGTTCGAGGAAGGAAGTGCCCTGGAAGGAAGCCAGGGCACTTTTCTGGATGAGAGGGACATTACGTGGCTTTCAGTGCTAATGACAGTTACAGTGCTGGAGACTTGCACAACCTCAGTAACCAAAAGAAGTACAGAAGCAGGAACCCTGTCTGCGAACATTTGCCCTTTAATTTGCATTTAAAATCAGTTTCTTTAAATATTTTAGTTACAAGTTCTGAATAGTGAAGACATAGGAGATGCTGCAGGCACTCAGTACTGGCTCCCACCCCTTCCCCCTACCCCAACCCCCAGGCCTTGCTTCTTCACTCAAAATACAAATGGGCACCCTGCACTAAATGAATGGCTCCCTGTGTCAAGTGTCAGCAGCCTCAGGCCTGGATGCAGTTGGATACGAAGCAATGAAGCCCAGTAGCTTTCATGACAAGACATGTGCATTTAACCATCCTCCGAAGAATTCCAATGACTGTGTCCAGACCCAAGGCAGTACCTCGTAGGTGACATCGGCCATTTCCCCACTGTGCACTAGCATCTTGGGCTGGTTTCCACCACAATCCATTCTCTCCCAGACCTGTGTTCTGTGGAGGAAGAGCTAAGGCTCCGCTCCCTAAGGGCCACGATACAGGAAGGAACAGAACTGCCTCTTCAGCCCACAGGCTTAAACCAATGGAATTTAAAAGCTCAAGACAATGTGAGCCAGTCCACAGGAAGCCTCCTCACTCCGATCTCTGCCAGGCGCCATCCAGCCCTTGGCTGTGACACGCTGTCTCCCTGCCGTGCGCTAGAATCTGCTCTAGATGAGAATCATGTGGTAGAATGGTCCCAGTGGTCTGGAAAGGGCAGCACAACCACAGCTGGGCATGCTTGTGCCAAAATGGGTCTTCCTGGTACAAAGCTATGACGGAGAGTGTGAGGGCAGGCCTGGGCTCTGCTCCAGCCTCATTTATAACCTCTGACCTCAGAAGCTGTCCTCCCCCTCAACACTGCCTACCCATACCCTGCCCCTCCAGATCCCCCAGCCTGTGCTTCCTGGAAGAGGTAGAAGAGGCAGCTTGAAGTCAGTGACGGCTGAGAATGAAGATGCCATTTAAGAAGCAAAGCAGCACCTCCTGGCCTGTGGTCAATACCTCCACACGGGTGGAACCGAGTAAGGACGTGCACAGCCAGGACAGAGGTTGCTCCGAGCTTGGGAGGCACAGCACCCTCCTAGGCATCTCTGGAGAACAGACTTTCAAGAGATAGAAACTTAATCACATGGTCCCCGGCAGTTTCCCTATGGTATACTGGACGGGGGAGAAGCAAAATCATCTCAGCGGAGGGCTAATGGAGAAAGGCAGGAATATTAATGAGCATCCATTAAGGCTCTCTCTCTCCCTCAAGCCTAAGGAAATCAGATATTCGAGGGTAAGAGAACGGCGCAGAGAGGGAGAGAGCCTGGCAGGAACACCAAGAGACCTGTGACTGCTGGTTACATGGTGCCCTGGTTTCCTTGCTTGAGAACAACAGCATATGCCTGTCTGTCACCAGGCTAACCCGGGGCCCGTGAGGGGACAGGGAGAAGACTGGTTTTCAGTTCCTGCATGGTTGATGTGTAGGGCGCATGGCTTCCTCCTACAGGTCCAATAGGAGGACTCTGGGATCCTCTACCGCTGCCTTGATTTTCCGGAGGAAAGTCACGGCCTCTCTGCCATCGATCAGCCGGTGATCATATGTCAGGGCCACGTACATCATGGGCCGCACCTCCACCTACAGAGAAGAGAGGTCGACAGGTTTGTCTGTCCTGTTGTCTACAGCGGGGCAGAGAAAGCCCAGATGAAAGGGGAGATGACACAGCACAGCCCATAGTTAAGTTCCCAGTTGCAGAGCCTTTCCTGCTTTGCTTTGCTGCTTCTGGATACGTACAGTATGTTCAAAGACCAAGCCCTACCCTGAGTGCAAAGCTCCCACACTCAAAGCTTAAACCAAGAAAACAGGAGTCTCCTTACAACTGCCTTTAAAAACACAAAACAAAAGAAAACAAAACACCATGCTCTGGCCTCTCACTTGTCTGCTGTCTACAGGGAAGTTCCTCTTCAGTTCTGGCTGCCTGCAGTTGCTTCTTTGGGGTTATAGTAACAACAAAAAAATTTTTTTTTATCCTGGGGTCCACAAATTCTCTGAAACTCTATGCAAAGTTGGGTGTATGAGCATTTTCAGGGAAGATCTATGATTTTTAGATTGAAAAAGGAGTTAGTGACCCAAAAAGGTTCTAAACATAGGAGTCCCAGGAAACATTTTCCTACCAACATATCTTCTAGGGCCAGCTCCAGACCCTTTGCCCTCATTCCGTGAACTCCCAGAAAACCTCTAAGCCTCATCATTACAACTTGGCAGCTTGTAGATGGCTCTGCCCTGCTGTCCTCTGTTCCCCAGGAGCAAGGACCATGTCTTCAACTGTATCCCCACACTCTCTACAGCACCTAGAGAATGAAGCCTGTTGACTAGTCCCAGATGAAGGAGCAAGCTTTCTCAGCTCAAAGGTTCTCAAACTTTAACGTGCATCAGAATCATCTGTACTTTCTGCTTCACTAGGTCTCGGAAGGGGTCCAAGAATTTGCATTTCCAACAAGTTCCCAGGTGCTGCTACTCCACACACAATTTAAGAACCAGTGCCTCAGCTAGTAATTAGAAACTAGGAGATGCAACTTATGCCTGAAATTATAGTAAATCTTTTATAATGAGCATCTAGTTAGACTTACCTCTCCTTATCGCCTAGCTGCTAGGACATTAATGGTGACGTTCCCTACCTTGCCTCCCACGACCACTGGCCTATCAAAGATGGCATGCATGCCCAGGATGGCAGACTGAGGGGGGTTGATGATGGGCGTTCCAAAGAGCGAGCCAAAAACGCCTCCGTTGCTGATGGTGAAAGTACCACCATCCATATCTTCAATGGCAAGTTCATTCTTCCGGGCCTAAAAACAGATTTTATAATTGAAAGGTAAGGTCAACCCAGCTTTCTTCACCTAAAGGAAGTCCAGAAGGCTCATATCTAAGATCAACAATCCAAGGTCTAGCTTTAACGCGAAAGCATTCAGCTAAGATGCCTATGACTAGTGCTCCACCAGGGGAAAGGACTTCAGAATCTTTTCTTTTCTGAGGTTTCCTCTGACGAGCTCTTCAGTCGTAAGAGCACGATAAGCTCCACCAGGAAGCTGTACTTCAGCTCTCTCTTGTGACTGCTGTTCACAGGGGCCACGCACTCCTTTCAGAAGAAAGTGAGGCTCCAGCTCCCTGAGCACCGCTCACTGGCCCAGCCTTCCCCAGGCTCTCTTCCCTGACCTGCCCAGCAGCTCATACCATCCTTTCTCTTTTACCTTCTCTCCCAGTTCACTGATGGTTCGCTCAATATCGGCATAATTCATAGTTTCCACATTCCTGATGACGGGAACCACCAGACCCTGATGAGAGTGAAAAGTTCTTTTCAGTTGCAAATTAATAGTACCCTTTATAGTTATAACTCTCTTGATTCAAGCCTATGGTCTCCCCTCCCCCAGAATATCCCCCAGACTCGTGATTAACAGAGTCTAAAATATTTAGGCTTGCCAGAGATAGAAGAACGTGGTATGGTCAAAAACAGGTTACTCTTCTAGTAACTCCCTTCTAAAAAGACAGAACTACAGGAAAGATCTCTCCCAGGGGTCTGCTTCTTCACACAGGTAAGGAGAGAGTCAAAGATCAGAGCTCCCCACTTCTTGCCCCAACATACCCGAGGCGTGGCCACTGCAACGCTGATGTCAATATAATCCCTATACACCACCTCTTTGGTTGTATCGTCAATCACTATGAGAGAGAAAACACACATTACATACAACTCCCCAGGCCTAGGCTAGTGAGGAAAAATT